AGCGCAGCGACAGCGTCGCCAGCCTGCATCTCCTCAAAGTAGCCGATGCACGCGTTCAAGAGCAGAAGCGCGAGAATAAGGCCAAAATCCGGGTAGTCGAGCAAGACGATCGACAAGATGGCAGCGACCTCCATGGCCCACGAGAGCGGGTTCCACATGAAGCCGAGGAAGACCTTGAGGCGGTTGACCTCGTTCTTGGGCAGGGCGTTGGGGCCGTGCTCGATGAGGCGCTTCTCGGCCTCGGCGGTCGAGAGACCCTCGCGGGTCGCCTTGAGCTTGTCGAGGGCAGCGTTGAGCGGGATCGCGCCCCACTCGATCTGACCCGCCTCGTTGACGTAGTTCTTGGCGTCGTTGGGCGTCGCCAATGCTTGGTAGCCCATGGTTAAAAGCGAACCACAACAAGCAAATTGAAAAGTGAGATCGCAGGTCCATTCTCGATCGTCACGTGCGCCAGCGCCCAGGATCCTTTCGGCGAGCTACCGATCGTGTGCCCACCCGCTTGGGTCCGGATATGCTGGCTACTTGGCCAAGCCGCGGTGGGTGGGACGACCAAGTCTCCGTGCCCCACCTGTCCTCGTCTCGTCCTGAAGACCAGTGCAGCCACGCCCAAGCTTCCTGCACGTAGGGTGACCTCCATCGTCATTGCAGCGTGCCAAGGAGCGACCGGCCTGGGCCGTGCTTTGGCGGGCGTCGTCGCTGCATGTTCCGCGACCGCCGAAGATACCGTCCGGATAACAAAACCTGCCGGATGCGCAGAATTGAAGCAGTGTGCAATGGGTCCCATCCCCTCGGTAATGCGGAGGGGGTGGCCAATCCAACACTGATGTGAGCTACAAGAGTCCTTTCAAGTGGAGCTTGTGGGGTACCCACCCCAGAGAAGAGGGGCCCTTGATTCGGACAGTCCGCCCGCCGTATCCGTACTCGATGGCGCAATCCGGATCCAGCACTACCTGCAGCCCGACCAACGATGGTAGTTTGCCGACAGACCTTGCTGTACTGCCCAGTACCTAGTTGCACTGCCTACATGGATGGTGCAATCCCTCTTCTATACATAGGTGGACGTCTCTGTAAAAAAGGGGCCATCATCGCTCCTCGTGCTCGTTGCTCCCTGCTGCGAGCGTGCCGCATCCTATGCGCCGAACTTGGATGTGCCGCCAGTGTCTCAAGTGGGTTCTTGGGCGCTTTTGGTCTGCCCACTCGAGCGCCGATGAGTGGGATCCGCTCTCCTGGCGTGCGCGGACCAAGTGCCTCGGATTTCTTGAAGCAAAAGCTGGCGTCCACGTTGTCTCATTTCTATGCAGTGGGCCAGCGTCGGCGTCCTGCGTTGAAGGTGGCGGCATGGGATGGGTTCCAACCAGCTGGAGACGACTGGTATATTGTACTAGTACGTAGCAAAAGCACGATCCTAGAAGCAAGCTGCAAGAGCATGGGCTCCAACACGCTCGCTTCGTGCGCGCTGCTGGCCAGATCTGGAGCGTCTTCTCCGTCCGCATTTGTGAAAGAAGAGGTCGCAGCCCAGATATCATTACACTGTATTCGCGTTCTCGATCAGGAAAGCGACAAACGATAGCTCAAACTGCTCAAACGATACTACAAGCAAAAGGCAGATCGCGCATTGACACTGTACCGGTATACTCAGCAATGTACGCCTGTCGACCTGCGATAGTTCTTGCTGTGTGTACATCGTCGCTTGGCGCGTCGGCAAGCCCCGCTGCCATGCTCAAAAGGCGCGAAAGTGCCAGTTTCACGAGACCCTGTCGTCGCAGCCCGCCACGTCATCGTTCGTTCGCCAGCAGGCGCTCTGGCACTGTACACTACATTCGCTTCTGGTGCAGGTCCACGTCGCGAGCCCTCTTGCATGAAACGTCATGCTCCGATGCTTACGCGTAGCATGCACGGAGCGCCCATGTCACGCGTTGCCAAGTCCCCCTGAGCTGTGGAAAACACTTTGACGGCGAGTCGTATACTTATACGTGGGTGCTTGCGAAGTTTGCGAAGGGCCCGTGCTGAGGAGCGCGTTGCGTCATCGCTGCCAGATGGCGTTTTGCATTGGCTTCCAGTCCAGTGCGCTTGGCGTTGGTCACACCTTGAATACTTACAACGAGACGATCGCTGTTGCGACACGGCCCACTTGTTACGCGGATTCCACATCTTGCCTCCACATCGCGATAAATCTGTGAACGCGAGCGCTTTCACGGAGCGGGGGTGTCGCAGCACCTACACGCTGCTTCAACAAATGGAGGGGCACCCTGTTACGCACTCGCTCTCGCCGAGCGTCTGCACGCAATCCATAGCGTCGTCCATCGCCGAAGCGGTAAGCGGAAAGCGACCCCTCAACAAGCGGCTTCTTGGCACCAACGACCTTGCTGGTACGAGGCGCGGGAAGAGGGCGCGTCTCTTACACTTGATTCTTCATCCACTGGTTGATATCGAGTTTCAGAGGCCGACGGAGACTCCATGTGGGCAATCTCCGTGGGCCGAACAAGTTGCAAATAAAAAGATCTCTTTTTTGCGACCACATACAAGCCGCGAGTGTACATAAAACATGCGCAAATTATTACGTCCCTTCGGTCCACTTGCGACACCTCGCGTTGGTGCCCACTCCCATACAAACACCAAGTACAACCCATTTGTTCGAAAACGGCGCCTGGTACCGTGGGATCCGGATGCGTATCCGGACAAGATGCAAGATCGAACTACTGGGCTCATTCGACATTCTGCGCGCTCCTCGGCAGCCATGGCAGCGTACCAGAGCATGACGACGCCCAACGACGCCAAGAACTACGTCAACGACGTGGGCCAGATCCAGTGGGGTGCCATCCCGCTCAACGCTGCCCTCGACAAGCTCAAGGCGACCCGTGAGGGTCTCTCGACCGCCGAGGCCGAGAAGCGCCTCATCGAGCACGGACCCAACGCCTTGCCCAAGAACGAGGTCAACCGCCTCAAGGTCTTCCTCGGCTTCATGTGGAACCCGCTCTCGTGGGCCATGGAGGTCGCTGCCATCTTGTCGATCGTCTTGCTCGACTTCCCGGATTTTGGCCTTATTCTCGCGCTTCTGCTCTTGAACGCGTGCATCGGCTACTTTGAGGAGATGCAGGCTGGCGACGCTGTCGCTGCGCTCATGGGTCAGCTTGCGCCCGAGTGCAAGGTCTTTCGCGATGGTGCCATGATCAACATCCCTGCCGACCAGCTCGTGCCCGGCGACGTGATTCGCATTCGTCTCGGTGATGTGCTTCCGGCCGATGTCAAGTTCCTTGAAGGTGATCCGGTCAAGATCGATCAGTCGTCGCTCACGGGCGAGTCGCTGCCGGTTACCAAGAGCGAGGGTGACGAAGGCTACTCGGGCTCGATCTGCAAGCAAGGTGAAATCGAAGCTGTTGTCACGAGCACGGGTATCCACACGTTCCTCGGTCGTGCTGCCGAGCAGATTGCTGGCGTCGAGTCGCAGGGCCGCCTCCAGGAAGTGCTCACGACGGTCGGCAACTTTTGCATGGTCTCTATTGTTGTCTGGTGCATCATTGAGCTCGTCGTGCAAATGGGTGCTCGCAAGGACGAGAACCCGTGCTTGATCATTACGGATGGCTGCCTCGGTGTTGCCAACATCCTCGTCTTGATCGTCGGCGGTATCCCGGTGGCCATGCCCACGGTCTTGTCGGTCACGCTCGCCATTGGTTCGTCGGCTCTCGCCAAGGAGAACGCCATCGTCACGCGCCTCACCTCGATCGAAGAGATGGCGTCGATGGAAGTGCTCTGCTCGGACAAGACGGGCACGCTCACGTTGAACAAGCTCTCGGTCGACCTCGACAACTTGATCCCGTACAACGGTTACTCGACGGATGATATCCTCCTCTTTGGTGCTCTTTCGGCTCGTATCGAGAACAACGAGGCCATCGACGTCGTGTGCCACAACACGTACCCTGGCCACGACACGATGTGGCAGAAGTACACGCTCCTCCACTACACACCTTTTGACCCGACGACCAAGCGCACGATCGCCAAGGTCAAGGACAACGCGACGGGCAAGATCTTCCGCGCCTGCAAGGGTGCGCCGCAGGTGTGCTTGGACATGGACGACAACGCCGAGTCGCTTCGCGCCGAAGTCGAGGGCCGCATCAATGAGTACGCCTCGCGCGGTTACCGTGGTCTTGGTGTCTCGTACTCGGAGGGCGATGTCCCGATGGAGGAAGCCACGTGGAAGCTTGTCGGTATCCTCCCGCTCTTTGACCCGCCGCGCCACGATACCGCCGACACGGTCAAGCGTGCCATCGAGATGGGTGTCGCTGTCAAGATGGTCACGGGTGATCACCGCGTCATTGCCATCGAGACGTGCCGCCAGCTCGGTATGCCCACCAACATTTTGGACACGTCGTTCTTCAACCAGGCGCCGCCGCCGGGTGTGAACCTCGCGCAGATGGTGTACGAGACGGACGGCTTTGCCCAGGTCTTCCCCGAACACAAGTTTGAGATTGTGCGCCAGCTCCAGTCGCTCGACAAGATTGTCGGCATGACGGGTGACGGTGTCAACGATGCGCCGGCGCTTGCGCAGGCCAACATTGGTATTGCCGTCGATGATGCCACCGACGCTGCCCGTGCTGCTGCCGACATTGTGCTCGTGTCGCCCGGTCTCTCGGTCATCATCACGGCCATCCGCATGTCGCGTGAGATCTTCTTGCGCATGAAGAACTACGCCATGTACTCGATCGCGATGACGGTCCGTATCGTCTTGACGTTTGGCTTGCTCACGGTGTGCTGGAACTGGTACTTCCCCACGATCCTCGTTGTCGTCTTGGCCATCTTGAACGACGGCACGATCTTGACGATCTCCAAGGACAATGTGACGGCGTCGCGCACGCCCGACTCGTGGAAGCTCAAGCAGGTGTTCATCTCGTCGATCTGCTTTGGCATCTGGCTCACGATCTCGACGGTTGTCTTGGTCGGTGTCGCGTACAACACGTCGGCGTTCGAAGGCTTTATCGACACGGAGAACCTCTGCGTGAGCTGCCTCAAGGACTCGTGCGACGCGTACTTCACGGAGAAGGTCCAGACGTGCACGAAGGACAACGACCCTGCTGCCTGTGGTGAACTTGATGGTTCGGTGTACAGGCCGACGCTCACGGCTGCCAACCTCGAGTTGCTTCGCGTGAACCGCAAGGCCTTCGTCGAAGGGTACAAGGCCAAGTACAACGCTGAGTCCAAGAACTCGGACTGGACCAAGCTTTTCGAGAACCTCAAGGGCAGCCACATCAACGACCTCGGCTACGAGCCGTCTGCCGACGAGGTGTACACCAAGTTTGTCAAGCAGTACACGGCCGAAGAAGCCGAGCTCACTGCTGCGAAGAACGGCGACGGTGTCGCGTTTGTCGGTCGCGGCTACATCCCGTTGACCAACGGCGTGAGCTTCTGCGACTTTGTGTGGGACTACTCCAACTTCAACACCAAGTACACCAAGGGCAACAAGGCCATCGGCCCCGGCATGCAGAAGAAGGACGGTATCCTCCGCTCGCTGGTCTACACGCAGGTGTCGATCTCGGGCCAGGCGCTCATCTTCGTCACGCGCACGGCCGGTATCAACACGTGGTTCTTTGCCGAGAAGCCGTGCAACCTCCTCCTCATCGCGTTTGTCTTTGCCCAGGTCGTGGCGTCGGTCATCGGTTACTACGGCTTCAACGGGTACCCGTCGGACCGTATCGCTGTGTTTGGCTGCGGCGGCGGCTACCTCGTGATTGCTTGGTTGTGGTCGATCGTGTGGCACTTCCCGCTCGACTTGATCAAGTTTGCGGTCAACTACGTCCTCAACGCCAACACGTACGCGTCGACGGCCTTTGACTCGCGCATCAACGCCGGCCACCCGTCCATGTCGCACGCGCGTGTGACGCAGCACGCCCGCTCGGTCCGCGCCTCGCGCACGGTCGCGTAAGCTATCATTACCCACTGTACCATTTGCATGTATAATTCGCAACAAGACATTTGTCTTTTCATCGACTCGACTTGCCTCCTCAGGATCGATCGTCGTGCAGCAGTGAAAAATACACGTGTGTAAAACACCTAGAGATGTACTAGTAGGTCACTTCCATACACATTATTCACGTGAAAAACAACCTATTTCCCACAGGGGGGAATCATTTGCTGTTTTGTCGAGATGGCCGCGTTCGGGGACCGCGTCCAAGACGCCGAGGGCTTCCGCGGGACGCTGCGCTACGCGGGGCCGATCCACTCCAAGGGAGCGGATGCCATCTACTACGGTAGGTAGATGGCGGAAGCACGGAAGGTCCATGGTGGATGCTTGTATGCTCCTAGGGATCGAGTGGGACGATGCGAGCCGCGGGAAGCATGATGGCGAAGCCGGCGGCGTCCGGTACTTTACGACAGCTGCGCCGACGAGTGGGTCCTTCGTCGTGCCCGAGAAGGTGGTGCGGGGCGTCGGCTTCCTCGACGCGCTCCACGAGCGCTACATGCAGGCCGAGGTCAGCGACGTCCGCGTCGCAGGAGAGGTCGGGACCAGCAGCGGTAGCTCCAAGAGCATCCAGCTCGTGGGTGTGCACAAGATCCAGTACGCTACTCATGATGCACTCATGAACCTCTCCTAATGGCGACATAGGGAACGCCAGGACCTCGGCGTCATCTGCAAGGTCTCCCTCGAGGTACATACGATGATGACGAATGTTTCCGAAGAGGTTGCATGTATCTCATGGTTAGTCGTGCCGCATTGCGCGCATGCCCGAGCCCGACGTTCTCCGCTCGATGGCTCCCAACATTGAAGTGCTCAACCTTGGCTTCAACCTCCTCGGGTCGTGGCGCGAGGTACGTCAAGCAGCCGCCTTGATGGACGCATCGCCATGTAATATGTAGGTGCTAACGCTGGCCGACGCGCTACCGAAACTTGAGCACCTCGTGCTTAGCGGGAATCGCCTTGCGTTCGACGTCCCAGCGACGAGCAACGTCACGTTTCCGTTCGTGACGAGCCTCGTCTTGAACCAGACCAACCTCACGTGGACCGACGTCCAGCGTGTGTGCAGCGCTCATTTTCCGCAGCTGCGCGAGCTCTACGTCGCCTCGAACGAGCTTACTGACGCTGATGTTTGTGACTTGACGACGCTATACGGGTCTTATCGATGGCGTAGCTGTTGGCGGCGGCGACGCTCCCGTGGCCGACGCACCTTGAGCTCGTCGACCTTTCCCACAACAAGCTGGGTGACTGGAGCGTGCTCCAGCAGAGCCTCGGGGCGCTCCCGTCGCTCCAGCATGTGCTTTTGAACGGGAACGCGCTGCCCGCGATCCTTCCGACGCCGTCCGGCAGCTTTTCGTCGCTCGTGAGCATCTCGATCTCCGACAACCTGTACAACCAACCATGTCCCCGCGCTCTTGGGAGTCATACACCACTGACATAGCATTGATGCGTGGTCCTCCATGGACGCGCTCAACTCGCTTCCGTCGCTCGAGCTGCTTCGTTTTGCCAAAAACCCGCTGATTGCGGCGCTCGGCGCTGGCGAAGCCCGCATGGTACGTCGCCATCCATGCGCCGTGTGTGTGCCAATCGTTCCGTTAGATCATTGTGGCGCGGTGTGCCCGCTTGGTGGCGTTCAACGGCAGTGAGATTCGCGCCAAGGTGCGAGGGTGACTAACTATATATCGTGGCCAATCATGGCACGTAGGAGCGCCTTGACGCTGAACAAATGTACCTCAAGCGGATCCTGCACGAACTCGCATCATTTCCGTCGACGGACGACCAGCTTAAAGTCGCGTCGAGCCACCCGCGCTTCGACGAGCTCGTGGCCAAGTACCCCGACATCCAAGTACGTGCGCGATTGGTGAGATCGTTCCTAACGCAGACGTGGCTGCAGAAGCCGCAGAGTGAGCGCGATGGCCCCGCGGCGCTCGCACGCAGCCTCGTGGCGGTGACCTTTCTCCCCATGAGCATCAACGCGACGACGATGGATCCGATGGAGAAGAAGCTGCCGCTCAAGTGAGACGTCTGCGAGTTGCATGCAGTGGTACCAACGATGCCCACGTTGTTGTAGCATGAAGGTCGGCCAGCTCAAGCTGCTCGTGCAAAAGAAGTACGGCCTTGAGCCTGCCGAGCATCAGCTGTCGTTCCGCAGCAGCAAGAAGGTACTCGCCTCATGATACAATGCAATCAACCATATGCCTCCACAGGGTATGTCGATCCCGCTCGACGACGAAGCGTGCGACGTGGGCTACTATGGTCTGCAGGACGGCGCCGAGATCCTCGTCAACGACGTCTGGTAAAAGCTTTGCAAACGTGGGACGAACCAAGAACACGAAATTGCACATGCATCCTCGTCATGAAGCTCTGCTCTATGTTTCGAGGGACTGGCCTTTCTTGAAGAGAAAATCGGCCAAATAGTCGATCGGGTCTTCGGGCTGGACCTTGACCACCTCGAGCATGCCTTCCGTGAGCGCCGGGATCACAGTCTCCATGAGGTACGCGCGCAGTGGCTTGGACCGTGCTTCGAGCACGTCCATTTCTTCTTTTTGGATGATCTCGAGGCGTGTTTTCTACAAAAACGGCTCGCACCCTCGAGGATTGTAGGCTTTGGTACCTCGGAGAGCGCGCGCGACTGCTTCTCCGACATTTCTTGCGCGAGGAGGTCGCTCATGCGCTTTTGCTCGGCCTCGGCCTCGGCCGCCTACGGCTTCGTTTGAGGTCTCTGGCTCGATCCTGCGCCGTACGAGCTGGGCGTCGACGTCGCGTTGTTGCTGCAGCACTTCTTCCTTTGTCGGGTGGTAGTTGAACGGCTTCCCGCCAGCTTCGAGGTACTTGGCTACGGGTTCGAGCAGAATCTTTTTGTTGCTGAACGCATCCTCGGTCTTGAGCTCGAGCTCGAGCACCTCGAGTGCGTTCTCCTTCTCAAAGAACGGGAGGAGTCCGCCGTCGGGCCCCTTTTCTTTCTGGAACGCGTCGTAGCGCTTGGCAAACTCGACTTCGGTATTGCCCGTTTTCTCGGCTTCGTCTTGCGCGAGCGACTGGGCGCGGCGCTGCAGTAGCTGCTTGGGCGCCCCAAGCACCACAACGTGGTTGGGGGCGTACACACTTGGCTTCTTGGGTTTGACGACCTTTGGCGCGCCGTCGTCCGGACTGTCGTCGTCGGTCTTGGCCTCGTCCTCGCCGTCCTTGCCCTCGTCGTCGTCTCCGACCGGCGGCTTGGGCGGCGGAAAGAGAGTCTTGGCCTGCTCCACCGAGACGGGCGCGCCATCCAGCACATACCCTTGGTTGCGACACACGGGCATGCTCAGACGCCAGCGCAAGAGGTCCGTCGCGAGCGCCAGGGGCAAGTTGAAGAGCTCGAGCTTGTACTTCTTCACCTCCTCCTTGAGAGTCAGGAGCGGCTCGTTGAGCTTGGCCGTGTTGAGGAGCTCGAGCGCGATCGAGGCTGGCGAGAGGTGCGGCAGGTAGTACGTCTTGGCCAGCGACGCAGCCAAGGTCGACTTGCCGACGCGCGGTGGCCCGAGCACCACGACGCGCAGCGGCCGGAGGTCCATGACCTTGATGTAGTCGAGCACAATGGCGTCCATGTTGGCAACGATGCCGGATTGGAACTGCCACTCGATCTACATGGCATGTCACATGTAGGCCGATAGTGGCAGCCGACGAGCGTACATCGAGGGCCTCGAGCGCGCTGCCCTCCATGTCAAACACTTGGTTGAGCTGCAGGTGCACCATGCTGCGCTCGACGAGCAGCAATTCCTCGGCTTCCGGTGGGCTCAAGTCGCGCAAGTTGCCGTTCCCAAGCGTCGTGCTGATCGCGGCGCAGACCTACACCAGCGACGGTGGGTTGATGCAAATGGTCGGTCTGGAACCTCGCGTAGCGTGGGGGCGGCCTTGTCGAGCGCGAGCATGTACGGCGCAGGTGGTGGCGACACGGTCGTCGCGACCGCCGCCACAATCTTGGCCAAGTCGTAGAGGCAGATCATGGGCAGTTTGTTGGCGCCACTGAGCCCCGAGACACTCGGAACCACGAGGTCTGTGTCTGTGTTGAGCCAGGCCTCGCTACCTAACCTGTCAGTGAAAACATTAAAAAAACCGGTCGTACCGGAGGAGGTAGTGGAGGCTTGACACGGCGCCGCCATAGATCATACCCGCGGCCACCACCATGGTGGCGAGCCCGTCTCGCTTGGCGCTGAGCACTTGGGTCTCGACGGCCTTGTACTCGGCGTACTTGCGTGCGGGCTTGCGCGTTTTGAAGTCGACTTCCTTGTGGCCCTAGACGCAAGTCGAGTGTGCGACAAACCTACGATGACTGTCGAGAGAGAACCTTCCAGTCGTCTTGCTTGGGTGGCATTGGCGTCTTGGCCCACGTGAGCACGCTTGAGACCGCGACAAAGAGCTTGGGCCCGTCGTCGCTGCTGTCGGCGAAGGCTTTTAGCGCCTCGAGCGTGCCGTCCGGGTCGTCCAAAATCGAGTAGACGGCCACGTGGCAGCGCTTGAGGAGGACGCTGACGTTGTGCTTGTCACTTGCGGCGACCACTGGGCTCTCGACAAACGCATCGGCGCCTTCGAGGCCCTCGCCGAGCTCGGGGTCGCGGTTCTCGATGAGCCGCTTCTTGGTCGCTTGCGCCTGCTTGAGGTTCTCGACGGCGCCGACGACTTCGCACGACCGGAGGCAGCGCGCGACCTCGGTCCCGAGCGGCGACGACAAGTTGCCAATGAAGACGCGCATGTCCTTTCTCCGACGATCTACTCGGCGGTGGCTCTGGATGTGGCCAGAAACCGCTGCGCCTTCTCGACTATCCGGATGACATGACGTGGCACTCTCCATGGCTTTTGTATCCGGAAACGAAACCAACACCGGACAGGAAGATCACGCTTTGTGCTTGGCTTTACTATGCGACTTGTGGTGCCGCGCCGACGACGTGGCGGATCGGTCATTGCCTCGCGGCGGTGTGGCTCTGACCATAGCTCCTTCTTCCTTGGTCGCTTCGTCTTCTTCTGCCATAGCACCTCCCTTGTCCGTGGTAGCTTTTTCCATCGCCGCTTCGGCAGCATACGCCTTGAGCTGTCGTCGCGCATGCACATGATCGAGAAGTGTCCTACGCGTCCGGCCATTAACGTCTGTGAAGCGATATTCGCGCCGCACCTCGCAATCAATTCGGTCGCAAAGTGATGACGCGCCTAGCACCAAATGTCATTTGACGCTTCGTCACGACGACGACGACACCTTAGCGGTTTCGAACGCTTTGAGCGCGTCCATCTTGGTCTTGTCGCACTTTTTGAACCACGCGTCGTCGAACGCGCGCGCAAAACCCATGTTTTCCATGATCTGCGCGCACTCGAGCATCTTTTGCCGGTCGCCCTGCGCACAGACAACTTGTCCAACGTACTATGCACCCAATCACGTACGCTGCTGACGGCTTGGAGCACGAGGGCGCGCGGTACGTCTTTGAAATGCACGTACTGCTTGTCGTACACGTCAATGTGCAAGTCCCCTACGAGGCACCCGTAGGGCTGCTGCAACACGCAGCCGAGACCTACGCATGCGTCGCTGCGCTGCCTTGATCGTTGCATGGGGCGTGGTTCGTAGGCCAAAGGGCGGCGGTAATTGGAGAAGGATGTGCGCGAGGTCGTCCAGCGTCACCATGCCCGTGCCCTTCGGGTCAAACTAGAGAGCCAGGTGTGAGCAAAGACAGCAATGGAAGCTACAACGGTACCTTGGCCCAAGCGAATGTGAACGCCTCCAGCACGTCGTTGGTGATGACGGCGGCGTTGGACGTATCTCCGATCGCGTCGACGACGATACCAGAGAAGACGTTGATGCCGACGTAGCCCATGACGAAGAAGAAGAGGTACATGTAGGGCAGAATGAAGGGCGACCCGCAGCCGTCGAGCGGGGCGCACCCCTCCGCAGTGTTGAAGCCGCACATGGACTCGTTGTAGACACGCTCGGCGCACGTTGGGTTCGTCGCGGGCACTTGGTTGTATACTTCCCATAGAAAGTTGGGCCAATTCTCGCCGGTGGAAAAGCCGATGAGCGTCTGGAGCGCGATCCAGAACGTCTGGAAATTCTGGTGCGGGTTGACCATGGTCTGGAAGCCGACCTTGGCAAAGAGCTGGACGCCAACGGCCGCAAAGATGTAGTACCTACTGAGTCGTGACCACATGGAATTTTAGAGTGCTGAAGTCCGACATGAGCATGAGCAGCGCCGTGACGTTGGCGACGGCGGGGAGCGAGATAAGGATCGTGTCGAACATGGCCTTGATGAGCTTGGCGTGGTTGATGAGTCGCAGGGCGCGGCCGACCCGGAAGACGCGGATGATCGTCGCCACGGGCCCGAGCGACTCGGTTGCAAAGACCTAGCGGCGCTGGAACTTCTCGTCAGTGGAGCAAAGAGGGCGACTTACAAGTGGTACGACAAGACTCACGACGGTTAGAGAGACAACCGCAAAGTCAAACCGGTTCCAGTCGTCCGCAAAGTAGTAGGCGGCGCCAAATGCCGTGATCTTGAGCACTGCATTCCCATGAGACACATTGGATAGCATTCAAGTTTACCGCATTCGAGGACAAAGACGGCCGCAAAGAAGTAGTTGAGTACGTTCAAGAGGAGCGTCATGGTCTCGCTCTGTCCGTAGTACGTGATGGCCATCGCGAGCATGTTGAGTAAAATGCACGCAATCACAATCACGTCAAAGCTCCGCCAGTGCACCAGCATGTAGGCGACGCGTCTAGGGACGGTGTATCAGCTTCCGCAACGTCGGCGATTCGCACCGGATCGGCTGCGCGGGCGACGGAAACACGACGACGGGCTTGATGGCCAAGACGCGCTGTTGCATCTTGATCCAGCTGATTTGCTCGTCGGTGACGAGGACGCCGTAGTTTTCTCGGATAAAGCTGTCGCAGAGCACGGCAATGAAGAGGTTGGTGATGAAGAACGCGCCGGCAATCATAAAGAAAATCCAGAAGAACATCATCGCCGGGTTGGCATTCTTGATCGGCTGCATGTCGGCGCCGGTCGCGTCGACGCAGGCAATGGCGACCGCGGCCCAGCCCTCCATCGTAGTGAGCTCGTAGAGCGAGCCCATGGCGAGGAAGATGTTGTCAAAGCGCTGCGGTACGACGTTGGCCCATGTGTGATTGAACGCTTCGCAGACGGCGCGCGACGTTGGCGTCTCATCGACGTCGCAGGCATGGTCGTCGCAGAGTACGTGGGGCCTTACCGAGGCCAATTGAGCTTGGACCGACGTCGAGAGCTGGGTCCACGGACGCGGGTAGGACATGATGTCGTACTGCGTTAGATCTGAAGCGTTGTAGCTGCCATTGTAGTCGGGCGGAAACCTAATGTCATGTTAAAAGCGCAAAAGGAGAGGTCGAGGGTACCACGGCGGCGGCGTCTCGCTCGTCATGTACGTGTACGGGCTCGTGTCGCAGGACGCGAGCGCACCGCGGAAGAACATGACAGTCATGATGCCAAAGATGAGCAGAATGAAGAGGAAGAAGACGAACGCCTTGCCAATCTCGGGGAGGCACCGGAAGAGCGTGTTGACGACGACCTTGAGCTGCGGCATCTTGTTGATGACGCGGAGCGGTCGGAGCGCGCGCAGCGAGCGCAAGGCGCGCAAGCTCGAGATGACGCTCGAGCCCAGTGCCCACGAGAGGAGCGACACGAGCACGATGAAGCCGTCGAGGACCGACCACGGGTCCCGGATGTACGCAAAGACGCCGTGCGCGACGAGATGCAACACCATTTCGAGAGCAAAGACGACGGCGAACACCATATTGGCCTTCTCGATCGTGTAGCCTACGCCCTGGTGCGTGTCGAGGAGCGGCGAGTCGAGCGCTGTCAAGACGCACGAGACAAAGATGATGAGGGTGACGCTCCGGTCCCAAAACCGGTGCGAGACGAGGCGGCGCGCTGCGCACCGTGGCCACGACACGTGCGATACGTGGACCGCGGCCGTTGGCGGTCCCGCCACGTCTACGATGGACGGCGCTGGCGCAATTTGCTCCAAGTTGATCGCGCGAAGCGCTTTGCGCAAGACGCGACGAAGGGAGCGGCTCTAGCGCATGACATGAGCTCCATAAAGGGTTGCGGTCGCACCCGCATCGTGTAGGCGCGGTGCAGGACGGCGAGGTCGTTTGCCAAGTCGTCGACGTCGGACTCGGACTCGTCGTCGGTCTTTTGAGCGCTCGTGCCGGCCATGACGGACTCGACGAGGATGGCCGAGAAGACGTTCATGACGACCCACACGCCGAGCACGATGATCGAGCAAAAGTAGAGGGCGCCAAGCCAGCCGGCGACGAGCCATCCATTGTAGAGGGCCTAATGCGTACAATGATTCGTAGATACAAAGGCATGGGGTCGTACCGCGGGCCAGTTGTCGTACGTCATGATTTGGAAGACGCTAAAGACCGCCCACTCGATCCGGTCAAAGTTGGAGCGCGACTGGTACATGGGGTGCGACCCGTTGAACGGCAGCGGGCGGTTGTTGCTGTCGAACTGGAGGCGCGTCGCGAAGAGCTCGATGCCAATGAGCGCGTAAATGTAAATAAAGAGGAAGAGGAACACGAGGAAGTTGCCAATCTCGCCTGAGGCGGCCGTGATCGCGACCAAAAGGTGGTGCAGTGGCTTGATCGACTTGGCGATTTTGATGGCGCGGAGCGCACGCAACGCTGCGAACGGCGAGACGCGCCCCGGGTTGCCGTCGACGATCTCGGGCGGGCTCTGCACCGTGTCGAGGATGCCGAGGGCGATCGTGACAAAGTCAAACCGGTTAAACCCATCCCTAACCGATTCGGTCACAATCGAAAAGAGAGAGGCCACCGCACCGCAAGTAGCGCCACGGGCCCGCTGCCACCATCTTGAAGAGCGTCTCGACGATGTAGTAGACAAGGCACCCAAAGTTGAGTGTTTCAATCCAATATTGGGTCGTCGCCGACATCCCGTGCGCGTTGCACGAGAGCACGGTCACGTTGAGCGTCGTCACCGCCAGTCCAATGCGGTGGAAAGCCCGCGAGCCGACGAAGCGCATCGTGTGGAACCGAATGCGGTACCAGACCCGCGTCGACGGCGTCGTTGTCACGGAGAGGGGCGCCTCGACTCGCCGCATGGCCGCGGCGTCCATCATTCTAAAAACACGCAATGTTTCACCTGCGACGAGGCTGGTATCAGTAGTGTACTTGGTCGGGCGGGCAATTGGGGTATGGGACGAGAGCTGGCGCTCCTGGTTCGTCTTGGCCTTTTCAAACTCGGTGTAGAGGACCGCCATGAAGAGCTGGAGGAGGAAGCACATGCCGATGAAGAGGAATGCGTTGAAGTAGACGCCGGCGACGACCCACGAATACGCGTCTTGGGTCTAGCCGCAGGTTAGCACTCCAGAAGGACAAGTCACGGGAAGGTACATTTTGCGTGAGCACCATCCAGCCGGACGCCGTCACGATCTGCAGCACGACGACGAGCGCACTCCCAATGTTGTCAAAGGACGTGACGCCAAAGTTGAGGTTGGCCGTAAAGTCCGGCTCGCCCATCAAATCAAACACGAGCGCGCCGCCCGCGTAGAAATTCAAAAAGCGTGGATTGCCGAGCCGGTCATAGTTGGAGCCGCAGGTCGTGTTGGGTGTCGGGCAGGCGCGGCTGCCGCAGTACTGGCCGAGCGTGTCGGTCGGGTCCAGTGGCCAAAAGCACGCCACTGGAGTCCGCCACACGTCGCTGTTGGAGAGGTTATTGCACTTGAACGTCACCGGGTCGGCCGTGACCGCCACCAAGTACGACGCGTTCGGGTACGCGCCGTTGGCAAAGTGCGTCGGGTCAAAGTTGAGTCGCACCGGATGCGGCGTGAGTCGACACCGGCCGTGGTACTTGTCCTGCCAGAGCTCCATGCCGAGGATCGCGAGCGTGAGGTAGCTAAAGCCGAGGAGCATCCCGGCGTTGAGAAGCGGCGGCAAGCTCGCGAGCACACCATTGACGAGGATGCGCAGGCCTAAACTGCGTCACGGACGACCGAATGATCGCTAGTCAACCTGGAAATGCACGCAGCGTGCGCAGCGGGCGGAGCACGCGCAGGATGCGCAGCTGACCCACGGCGCTGCGGCCGCCGGAGGCCCACGCCACGATGCTACGAGGATGTGAGGCAAATGACCGCACACGTGCGTGTACCCGGAGATGATGACGATCAGATCGAGCTTGTTCCAATGGTCGCCGAGGTACTCGAAGACGCCAAACGCGACCGCTTTGACGAGCGCTTCGAGCACGAAGAGCACGAGCGAAATGTTGTTGACGCGCTCGATCAAGATGTTGGTCGGCAGCAGCATGTTGGGGCCGGTCGCCCACGGACTCGAGTAGTCGACGAGGCCAAGGACGACGGTATTCGTGAGCACGACGACGACGCTGACGCGGTCAAACCACGGCGACGTTGCGATGCAGTAGATCCACCGGCGCAGAGGGTGCGACGGCCGCGCGCGGCGCTTGGCGTGGAGCACCGCGACCAAGTCGCCGAGACTCGCGGGCCGGACCGAGGCCATGCCGACAACGAGTCGGAAATAGACTATCGGTTAGAGGGGACACAGAAATGTATATATATATATTACTAGCCTAGAGCTGCAGCTTCTGCGGCGACGTCGAGGTAGCCGTGGACGCGAGGACCGGCGCCGCCGCAAGGACGGCCTTGTAGTCTTCGGGCATCACCTTGATGAACGCGTGCTTGGCGTTCGACCAGTCGTCGAGGACGCGTCGCGCCATGGGCGACCCCGTGTGCGCCAGATGCTGCGTGAGGAGGTCGTGCACGCGGTCGTCGTCGAGCATGTCGAGCGGCTCGAGGTCGATCATGGCGAGGTTGCACTTGGGCGCAAGCGCCGCCGTCGGGTCATAGACGTAAGCAATTCCGCCCGACATGCCGGCGCCAAAGTTGCGCCCCGTGGGGCCCAGCACGACCACGTGGCCGCCCGTCATGTACTCGCAGCCGTGGTCCCTGCAACTGAATGAGCCATGGGAAGAGACAACGTGAGCATGTACCCGACGCCTTCGACGACCGCATCGACACCAGAGTTGCGCACGGCGAAGCGCTCGCCCGCCTTGCCGGCGAAGAAGGCCGCGCCGCTCGTGCCCCCATAGAGCACGGCGTTGCCAGCAATCGTCTGACCATCTAGACAAGACAAAGTGTCCATTTCGGTGGCCGACATATGTGCAAACGTACGAAGCGCAGTCTCAGACGGGGCGACGACGATGGTACCGCCGCTGAGCGCCTTGCCGACATAGTCGTTGGCGTCGCCATGCACGTGCAAGAGGACACCGGGGCACAAGCCAAAGCCGAGCGACTGACCGGCGTGGCCCGTCAAGTGCAGTGCGATCGTGCCACTTGGCAACCCTAATCCCGATAAATTGAAATAAATGCAGAAAAAGAAAAAGCATACCGTCAGCGCCGTACTTGGACGTGATGGTGTGGGAGAGGAGCGTGCCCACCGTGCGGTTGACGTTCGAGATCGGAAGGTGCACTTGGACGGGCGTGCCATCTTGAATGGCGTTCTCGCACGCCGCCAACAACTTTTGGTCGAGGATCTGGTCCAGACTAGAATGCAATTTGTGAATCCCAGAGCTAGAAATGCAAAGCGTACCCGTGGTCTTGCTGGTGGGCGGGGTTGTAGCGCACGGCGCTGTCCGGGTTGAGCGTCTGTGCGTTGACGAGGAGCGGGCCAAAGTCCAGGAGCGCGCTAATCAACATCAAGCGTGAGCGACACACAGATAAATAGCAGTGTCTGGTTGTACGTCTTGTCGTGGAGCGCCGTGGGGTCGACGTGCAGCAAGTCGGCGCGGCCGACGAGCTCGTCAAGGGACGTGGCGCCGAGCGACCGCACAATCTCTTGCACTTCTTCGGCGAGGAGCCAGAGAAAGTTGACCACGTGCTCCGGGGTACCGGCAAACTTTTTGCGCAGCTCCGGGTCCTGCGTCGCGACACCGACGGGGCACGTGTTGAGGTGGCACTTGCGCATCATGATGCAGCCGAGCGCGATGAGCGGGGCGGTCGCAAAGCCAAACTCTTCCGCGCCAAGGAGCGCCGCAATCACCACGTCCCGGCCCGTCTTGAGCTGTCCGTCCGTCTGCAGCTTGACGCGGGACCTGCCAAGATTGAGCATGAGCGCTATGCCAAGGTACGTGGGTTGGTACCGGAGGTTGTTGAGGACGAGCGTTTGCTGGGCTTCCGCGAGACCGAGCTCCCATGGAAGACCTCCGTGCTTGACGCCGGTCCAGGACGACGCACCCGTGCCACCTAGAACGGATCCTCAGCTCCGGATTGCAGTCTCGAAGGCGTACCGTCGTGACCACTGATGGTGATGTGCTCGGCCTTGGCCTTGGCAACACCGGCGGCAACGACGCCGACGCCGACTTCGGACACGAGCTTGACGCTGATCTCGGCCACGGGGTTGGCGTTCTTGAGGTCGTGGATGAGCTGCGCCAAGTCTTCAATCGAGTAAATGTCGTGGTGCGGCTAGATGCACATATCAGACAAATGAGATCGTACACTGAGTCATGTACCGGCGGCGAGATGAGGCCGACGCCCGGCGTCGTGTGACGGCGCGCTGCAATGTAGTCCGAGACCTTATGACCCGGAAGTTCGCCGCCCTCGCCAGGCTTGGCGCCCTGAGCCATCTTGATCTGGAGCTGGTCCGCATTCGTGAGGTAGTCCATCGTGACGCCAAAGCGGCCGCTGGCGACCTGCTTGATCGCCGACCGCTTCTTGTTGGGCTTGCCATTCTGCAAACATGTTGAGACAACTTGTCCCTGCATATATATGTGTACCTCGGGAGCATACCGGCGCGGGTCCTCGCCGCCTTCACCCGTGTTGGAGCGCCCACCGAGTCGGTTCATGGCCTCGGCCAGCGCCTCGTGAGTCTCTTGCGAGATCGAGCCAAGCGACATGGCGCCTACATTTCATGATTGGTCCCGTCGATACATTGATACTAATAATGTCGTACCCGTGTTGAAGCGCTTGACAATTTCCGAGACGGGCTCCATCTCGGCCAGCGACGGCATTTCGTCGGCCGGCACCGTGCTGAAGTCCAAGAGCCCACGCAGCGTCACCTTGCTACACAAACCGCCTTGGTATTGGAGCCTATACGAGGTGGACGCACCGGGCAGCGGCGACAGTGGCGTCGCGGTACGTGTTGTACGCCTCGCGTGAGTTTTCCCGCGCGGCCATCTGCAGCGCGACGATCGACGCGGGCGAGTTGAAGTGCACTTCGCCGCCTTCGCGCGCGTGGTACTGCCCCGGGTTGCGGAGACTGTGCGCGGTTTGGGCATACGCAAGCGCGTGGAGTTTGGCCACATCGTCGTAGAGAATCGCGAGGTCGCTGCCTACAGATGCGTCGTCGTACACTCGATCGCGTGGGAAAAGCCGACCTTGGAGGCGCGACGTCGTGCCCTTGAAGCACCGGTTGATCACGTCCGGCCCGAGACCGACGGCCTCAAACACCTGGGCGCCCTTGTACGACTGGAGCGTCGAGATTCCCATCTTGGACATGACCTTGAGCAAGCCCTTCCCGATCGCGGTTTGGTAATTGAGCTGGAGCTCTTCGTTCGACAGCTAAGCGTATATTTCGTGAGATTTCCCGAAAAGTCGTCAAGGTCGTACGTCGCGCTTGGCATACGCCTTGAGCAAACCTTCGTCCTTCATGTGGGCGAGGGCCTCGTACGCCATGTGGGGGCACACGGCATCGGCGCCAAAGCTACGAGTGGCGTCAGTCAAACTATCAAGGTATCGAGTGGGTACCCGAGGAGCGTCGCAAAGTCGTGGACTTCCTTGGCATCGCCGGCCTCGACAAAGAGCGCCACTGACGTGCGCTGCTGCGTCTGCAAGAGGTGCTGGTGCACAGCACCGACGACGAGGAGCGACGGAATCGGAAGCCGCCCGTCGCCCGCGCGAACATCGGAAAAGAGGAGCGCCGACTTGCCCTGCGCCACCTAAGAAGAACATATATCATATGATGGAGAAGACAAGACGAGGAATGTACAGCGGTCGTCGCGTCTTCGCAGAGCCGGTCGAGGGCGTCGGCGAGGCCGCGCGGGCCGCTGTTGACGGCAAAGGTCGCATCGAGCGTCGTGGCCGCCCATTTCGGGTGCGTTGTCGTCTTGAGCTTGTGCACGTCGTCCAGCGTCAGCACCGGGTGCTCGACAATGAGGCTAGTATCAAGATTGTATCAAGACGCTGCGACCAAAACGGGCTGAGTACCGTGACGCGTGTTGGGGCGTCGCGTCCAAAATATTTTCTTCCGGTCCGACGGGGCACTGGAGACTCATGACGAGCTCTTCGCGGATCGGGTCAATCGGCGGGTTGGTCACTTGGGCAAAGAGCTGTTTGAAGTACTCGGCCGGCGCCTTCGGGAGCTCCGAGAGCACGGCGAGCGGCGCGTCGTTGCCCATCGAACCGAGCGGTTCCTTGTGGTTGAGCCCCATGGGCATGAGAAGCATGTCCATCGTCTCGGTTGTAAAGCTACAGTTGCCTTCAGTCATCACAGATTTACGCCCAAGGACGTACCCAAACATGGTCAGGCGCCGAAGAGCGTCCTTGGAGACGCGCATGGGCGCCGCCGGCGACGGCACGGGCAGCGACTGCAGCGACACCATGTTTTTCTGGACCCACTCGCCAAACGGCCGGCTCGTCGCCACTTGTTTTTTGATCTACGAACCGAGGCTCGATCCCTGTACCAGTAAATAGGTACATACCTCTTCGTCCGAGACGATGCGGCCTTGGTCAAAGTCGACGTAAAACATCTTGCCGGGCTCAAGCCGGTGCTTGGAGACCACGTCGGCTTCGGCCAAGTCTTCGAGAACACCGACTTCGCTCGAGAGCGCCACGTGGCCGTCTTTGGTCACATAATAGCGCGACGGACGGAGACCATTCCGGTCGAGCGACGCACCGACCGACTTGCCTGCGTCATTATTGTCAAGCGTCGACACGTACGACAATAGAGGGTATACCGTCGCAGAAAGCAATCATGGCCGGGCCGTCCCACGGCTCCATGAGGCAGGCGTTGTACTGGTACATGGCGCGCTTCTCGGGTGAGAGGTGCGGGTTGTTCTGCCACGCCTCCGGGATCATCATCATCATGGTTTCCGGCAGCGTGCGATCGCACGAGCTGGCCTTCGAGAGCAGTTCGAGCGCCGAGTCAAAGTTGCCCGAGTCGCTCATGCCGTCCGAGCAGACGGGCAAGAGCGACGCGGTCGCTTGGCCAAAGTACTTGTTGTGGGCCTTGGAGCCGCGGGCAAACATCCAGTTCTTGTTGCCGCGGAGCGTGTTGATTTCGCCGTTGTGGCACATGACGCGGTTGGGCTGCGCGCGGTCCCAGGACGGGAACGTGTTGGTGCTGAAGCGCGAGTGCACCATCGCGACGTGCGACGCAAAGTCGTCCGTCTAGCAGTTCGAATTTTCAGAATTTTCGGAATTTTCGGGTTTTCCAAAATTTGAAAAAAAGGACATACCTGGAGGTCCTTGTAGTACGGGAGGAGCTGGGACGGCGTGAGCTGGCCCTTGTACGTGATCGTTTGGTTGGAGAGCGAGCACACATACATCTCGCTGGCGTCGTTCCGAGCCGTGCCCACGACACGCAATCTAGATCAATACCCAGATCAGCTTCCATCTGGTGGGCGTACCACACGGTACCGGAGCAGCTCCTTCTCAAAGTCCGACGTTGACATGGACTCGGGCGGGACGACGAGCACTTGCTCAATGTGCGGCTCGGACGCCTTGGACGTCGCGCCGAGCGCATCGTTGACCGTCGGCACGACGCGCCAGCCCAAGGACGCCAAGTTGAGTTCTTCCGCGAGCGCGTCAAACTGCGCCTTGCTGCTCGAGATGTCGCGGTCCTTGCGGAAGAAGATGTTGCCGACCGCGTAGCGCTCGGGCGTGAGCGGCTGCGTGAGCGGTGCACCAAACTGGCCTTCGCGGGCGACGCGGCCCATGAACGAGTGCGGCATCCCAACAAGCATGCCAGCGCCGTCGCCGGAGGCGGGATCACAGCCGCAGCCGCCGCGATGGCTCATGCGCACAAGCATGTCGTTGGCTTCGACGACAACCTTGCGCGACGGCTGCTTCTTGAGGTGGGCGAGGAGGCCGACGCCGCACGAGTCCTTCTCGAGGTGCTTGGCGTAGAGCGAATTGGCGGTCGTCGCCGGCTGGCGGAAGTGCGAGTACGAGTTGGGGCGCGTCCAGGTCATGGGCGGCTTGCGCAGAAGCGCGCGGCCATGAGACCAACGGAGCATCTTGGAAAATGAGGTGATCTTGACTTGGCTGTTGATGCGCGGGCGTAGAGATCCGCCGCCGACCACAAGAACGAAGAACGTTATTGGCACGCGACTTCGGAACAGCGTATCTTTCCGCCGATCCGCCAATCAGAAGGCGTGTTTATGGTTTGGCCAATCCGATTCCTGCGTTTCGTCAACACGCAACTTCGATGTACGTCTTTTTATCTCGATTGCCTTCAACGTAATACAAAAACCAAGTCAATTCAATTCGAACGTGCCAAAGATCGTACACGCCGTACATGGAATGTACGGCATGTACGGCTGCGGTTGACCAGAAGAGCAACATGGCCAAGATCGAGACCAGCATTGACCGATTCGCCATGCTGCGCCCAGTGACTGCCACGACCAAGCGCGTGCTGACGCGGCTCTCGGCGCGCGCTCTGAGCGCCAAGCCATTCATCGACATCACCCGGTCGCCCGACGCCTACCGCCCGGCGAAGGCCCGCGTCCACGACTGGAACGAGATCTACACCCACGACCGCGATCCGACCGAGCGCACGAACCAAGCGTCGCGCTGCATGGACTGCGGTACGCCGTTCTGCCAGTCGCGGTCGCTCTCGGGCTGCCCGGTCGCCAACTTGATTCCTGAGTGGAATGCCTTGGTTGTCCGCGACGAGTGGCGCGAAGCATACACGCGGCTCAGCGCAACCAACAACTTTCCCGAGTTTACGGGTCGCGTCTGCCCAGCGCCGTGCGAAGGCGCGTGTGTCCTCGGTGTCATCGACAACCCCGTCACGATCAAGAACGTCGAGCACGCGATCGTCGCGCGGGCATGGGACGAAGGCTGGATTGTCCCGCGCATTCCGGCGCAGCGCTCGGGGCTCAAGGTCGGCGTCGTGGGCTCGGGCCCCGCAGGCCTTGCCGCCGCCGACCAGCTCAACCAGCTCGGCCACTCGGTGGTCGTCTTTGAGAAGGCCGACCGCATCGGCGGTCTCCTCATGTATGGCATCCCCAACATGAAGGTACTGTCATCTCTCTCGCCCAAGCTCAAAACTCAAACGTCATGGTAGCTCGACAAGTCGGACGTTGAGCGCCGCGTCGACATGCTCGCGAAAGAAGGCATTGAGTTTCGCACGAGCGTCCACGTCGGCGAAAATATTCAAAGTCTCATGGACGATGTATGTCCATCCTAGCATACGCGGTATCTATATTACGAGTAGATGGACGCGGTGGTCCTCGCGACGGGCTCGACGGTCCCGCGGTTCCTCACGGTCGAAGGCGCCAACTTGGGCGGCGTACGACCTGTTCTCAACGACCAACTCTAATGGCGGCTTAGATTCACTTTGCGATGGAATTTCTGACGCGCAACCAGAAGCGGCTCCTCGCAACAAAGGAGGGCACGCTCAAGAGCAAGTGGCACAAGGACTACATTAGCGCCGAAGGCAAGCACGTTGTCGTGATTGGCGGTGGCGATACTGGCACCGACTGCAGTACGTCGTCGCCCTCCCAACTTGATTTACGGTTGACTAGTCGCCACGTCGCTGCGCCAGCAGTGCAAGAGCATCACGAACCTCGAGCACAACCCCAAGCCGCCGGCGACGCGGGCGCCCTCGAACCCGTGGCCGCAGTACCCGCGGGTGTACCACGCCGACTATGGCCACGAAGAAGCCGCAGAGGTGTTTGGAACTGACCCGCGCGCCTACAGCCGGACGACGCTGCGCTTCCGCGGCAACGCGTCCGGTCAAGTGACGCACGTGGTGACGGCCATGGCGGCGCGCAACGCGTCCGGGGGCTTCGACGTGGTGCCAGGCACCGAAGAGGAGCTGCCGTGTGACTTGGCGATCCTCGCCATGGGGTTTATGCACCCGGACCAGGCGCTACCCTCAACTTTGGACCTCGCGATCGACGGCCGCAAGAACATTGCCACGGACGGCAACTTTGCCACATCGATGCCAGGTGCTTTCGGATCCCACTCGTGTCGTCAACGAATCATCGTATCTGATCCGGTGCTAGGTGTGTTTGCGGCCGGCGACTGCCGCCGAGGCCAGTCGCTGGTCGTGTGGGCGATTCACGAAGGCCGGCAGGTCGCGGACGCGGTCCAGCAGTACTTTAACAAGCTCGAGCTCCTCGCGCACCAGCACGACGCGCAGCACGAGCAGCGCATGTAGAAGATACCCAGAGATCCAGAAAACAGTTGTTGATGAAAAATCCAGTGCCAGCTGGCAACGCAAGTATCTTACGGCTTGTTGGTGGCACAGCCTTGGAGGTGGAGCGTGCGGACGTGGCCTCTCAGCGCGTCGACGCCACGCGCATTCGCACAGAAGCGCAGGTCAAGCCACCGCACGCGCTGGAGCATGCTGACGTCACGCACGCCTTGACAGTCGCTCAGGTTCAGAATGGACACGCAGCCGAGCGCGCTCACGTCGGTGATCTAGCGCTGACGTCACATATCGATGCGGGTGCGTCAACACACCTGTTCGCAGCCGCTGAGGTTCAACGAGTAGCACCCGCCGAGGCCGGCGACGTCGGCGATGCTTGCGCAATTGCGCAAACTGAGCGAGTGCACATTTCCGAGGCCGGAGACGGCTGAGACGCTGTGGCAGTAGCTTAGGTCCAAGTGCTGGACGCGGCTAAGGGCCGAGACGTCGGTCACGAGTTGGCAGCCCGCGAGCTTGAGCGTATGGACGCTCGCAAGCGGCGAGACGTTCTGAAGCGCGCCACAGAAACGCAGATCGACGTCATGACAACGACCCAGCGGTCCGACGTCCGTGACGCCTTTGCAGCAGCTCAAGTTGACCTTGCGGGCGTGCCGCAGCGGCGCCAAGTCCTTCACACGGGGGCAGCGGTACGCGTTGAGCACCTACTTGCATGATAGTACAGTCCGACCTTGGATGTGGGACCAAGCACCTGGATCGACGTTAGGGGAGTCAGGTCCTCGAGGTGGCGGCAGAAGCTCATGTCGAGGTGCGTGACGCTCGACAAGCCCCGCAGCGATGTCACGCCGTGGCAGCGGCTTATGTTGAGCGTTGGGATCTGGCCAAGCGCCGAAATGTCGGAGAGGAGCTTGCAGTTGGATATGTCGAGCGACTGGAGCGTCATCGAACGACCCAACGCCGCGACGTCCGCCAGCGCGTCGCAGTTGCTCAGCGTCAAGTGGGTGACGTGGAGCAGGGCCGAGACGTCAGTGAGATGGCTGCCTACGCACTGCGGTTGCATCTCTCTGCGCAAGCACATAAGCACCGTACAGGCAGAGAGGTTGAGGGTATGCACATGGCCAAGCGCGGCGACGTCGGTGACGCCTGCACAGCCGCTCAAATCCAAGCGCGTGATGCGCCCTGTAGAAGAGAAGCTAGTTGGGCGGCAGAGTAGGAGGTCGTACCGAGGGCAGAGACGTCGACGACGTTAAGGCACTTGCGAAGATTCAGCTCGACGCAGCGGCCGAGTGCCGAGACGTCCGAGACGTCGAGCCCACTGCGGGGAGATGGAGACCCAGATTCCATAACGGAATGGTACCTCAGGTGCAACGTATGAACGTGCGTGAGTGCCGATACGTCGGTCACGAGCTTGCAGCCGCTCAGGACGAGAGTGTGCACGCGGCCGAGCATCGAGATATCGTGTATGCGCGGGCAGTTGCGTAAGCTGAGCGTCTGCACGTTCTCGAGGGCGTTCACGTCGCTAGTCGCGATGAGCAGCGTCGTGGCTTTTCGAGGTCGTCGTACCTCACGAGTTTGCACAGGTTGAGGCAGACCGATGTGGCGTGCGCTAGAGGTGCCACGTCACGAAGACTGTGGCAGTAGCTCAAGTCGACGTGCGCCTGGTATGGCATATCATTGCACTCGACCGCACCGGATGATGCAGTTACCACGCGTGCGAGCCAGTGGACGTCCGTGACGCCGTGGCAGTAGCTGAGATCGATCGAGCGCAGCGTCTGCACGTGCTCGAAGCCGCGAATGTTCGCGCAGCCGCTGAGGTTGACGTGCGCGAGGCGGTGTAGACCTCGAGTGCGCGTCGCATGAGCACCAACAGCGCGAGTGAAGTTTACCTGGAAAGAGCTGGACGCCAATCGTGCCGCTGAGGTCGAGCGTATGGAGCTGGTCGACGACGGTGTCAAGGGACTCGGCCAACGCAGCGTTGAGACGCGTCATGCGTGCACTCTGGGTGAGCGCGTTTTGCACCAGTCCGTCGATGCGGGCCTCGATGTCGAGCTCTTCTTCGGGCGCCTGCGACGCGAGACGCTGTTGTTGACCGTCGAATGGGGCGAACATACCTCGGTGCGGTGAAGATTGTAGATGGACTCGTTGTACGGAGCTTGAAAGCGGATAAACGGCTTGAAGCACACGTGGCGCAGGTTCGGCCATTGGTGCAGCACCGCTGTGAGCTCTTCGATTGAAGCGGCGAGCTCGACGGGATGGGACAACGTCACGTCGTCGTGGAGTGTGCGACGCAGCGCCTTGCTCAAGCTCGCGCAGGTGAGTACCTCGGGCAGCGCCAAACACGGTGCGAGGTGGGCCGCCCACACCAACGGCGGAAGCGACTCGAGCATGGCCAAACGAATTGTCACCACCCGGCGCCACGTGTGCGAGGTATAGACTCTTGTTACACGCATCAAGGACATCACTGAACGCCAGGGGCAGCTGGTCGAGTCGGAACGGGGCGGCGATAGGGAGCTTGCAAGTCGGATGCATACTCAAGAGCGTCGGCCACAGTCGGCCACCTGCAGCTCAGGCTCATCCATCCGTGCTGTTCTCGTGCTGGCTGCGTGCTGGTCGCTGCCTCTGCCACGTCAATTGTGATGACCTCTATAATTTCATACGATTGGCGCGGAAACCTCTACAAGTGAATAACTCCATGCTCCGCTACACGACGGGCGACGTGCTCCTTCGGAAGGCCCACCGCGGCCAGCTGCAAGAGGTCAAGTACCTCGTCCAGGAGGTGTACGTCGACGTCAACTACCGCGACGAGGTACGCTCGCATCGGCCTTCGATCGTCGGCCACCATAACGCTAGACGGGCTGCACAGCGCTGCACATGGCCGCGGCCGCCGGCCAGCTCGACGTCGTCAAGTGGCTCCTCTCGTACCAAGGCATCCGCCCCAACCTCCTCGACCACGTACGCGCCGTTGCCCATTCTCGCGCTCATATATTGCTCTCCCAGAACGCCCAAAGCGCGATTCATTACGCCGCCTTTTACGGCCACTTGCCCATCGTGCAAGTGCTCTTGGACCACTGTGTGCCCTTGCACATCAAGGACAAGGTAGAGACTGCCAGTCCTTTGTCGATGCGATGCAAGGCGCGGTAGACGGGGCGGTTGCCGCACGTCGGCGCCGCGATCAACGGCCACGTGGACGTCGTCCGCTTCCTCCTGCACGACTGTCCGCTGCCGATCGAGCGCAACACGATTGACGAGGTGGGCGAAGCTCGTATCATCCTACTTACGGCGCTTTAGTATGGCGCGACGTGTCTGCACTGGGCCGCGGCCCACGGTCGGCGCGACGTCGTCGAGTTCCTGCTCCACGCCGGCGTCGACGCCCACGTGACGAGCTACGTACGTCCGATCGTAATTTGTGATGTGACTTTGTGCGTCGTAGGACAATCGCACGGCGTACCAGTTGGCCAAGGACAAGGGGCAGCCCAAGTGCCAAAACGTCATCAAGCGCTGGTTTGAGGTCGCGCAGGTAGGCTCCCAGCCCGACGACTCTACGCGGACGCTCGGCGTAGCGACTGCTGCAAGCCGCCGAGACGGGCAACGACGACGAGGTCAAGCGTGTCATCCACGACGTCGCAGGCGCTTACCCGCTCCGCTTTCTCAAAGACAAGGTACGTCACGATGGCGCATCGCCGCGTCCGCACGGTGCATAGAACGGGCGACACGCGATGCACTGGGCCGCAAGCGCGGGACGCCTCCCGACCTTGCGCATCCTCGCGGAAAATTTCGACTCGTGGACCGACCTCGACAAGGTGCGTTCTTGCTCTGCACGATGGATGTGGCGTCAGCGCGTCGCGCTAGTTTGGGCGCAATGCGCTGCACTGGGCAGCGCTGGGTGGCCACGCCGAGTGCGCGTTCTGGCTCACGCAGCACCACGTCGGTGAACGCAAGACGCTCATGGTGCCGTCGCTCGTACGTACACTGCGCTGCATCGATGGCACTGACGCAGCGATAGACCAACAAGACGCCGGCGCGCTGCGCCTTGGACGCGGGGCACACGGCCCTCGCTGCGCAGCTGCAGGTAGTCGTCGTTGCGTTCACTGCGATGCCTATGCGACGTGCGTAGGAGTGGGAAGACACGGCGCTCCGTGCTGGGGATGTGGCACCGCCATCAACGGCGACAACGACGACGGCCATGTAGTCGTCCGTCGTGTGTGTCTCTGATGCGACCGTTGCTGGTGGGTTCGAAATACCGTTGGCCCGTATATCCTGTGAAAATGAATATATTTCCGATACTGATTGGTAAGGCAATGCGGCATCGACATAAAAACACCCGACGGTCGCGCGGTTTTCTCGCGTAGCGTAAATTAATAAACCTCTCAGATATGATATGTCGAGGCAGAGCTAGTGGGCAGCCACAGTCGGATCGTCACGGAGCATGCAGCGCTACACGACGGGCGACATCCTCATCCGGAAGGCCCACCGCGGCAAGCTGCAGGAGGTCGTCTACCTCGTCCAGGACATTGCGGTCGACGTCAACTACCGCAACATGGTACGTACCGCTGTAGCGCCGCCGGCTCATGCATCCTAGAACGGGTGCACGCCGCTGCACGCCGCCGCGGCCTCAGGCCAGCTCGAAGTCGTGCAGTGGCTCTTGCATTCGCCGCAGATCGACCCGTCGGTGGTCGACGATGTACGCCCACGCGCTCATTGAGAAGGCATCTCATGCCAAGGCGGCTCACTAGGGCGACCAGACAGCGCTTCACTACGCCGCCTTCTACGGCCACCTTGAAGTCGTCCAGATCCTCGTCGAGCACGGTGTGCAGCTTGACGCCAAGGACAAGGTGCGACAACCCACACTGCAATGTGACTTATATGCATCGTAGTTTGGCCGCCTCCCGCACATTGCAGCGGCGCTGAACGGGCACTTGGACGTCATCCGCTACATTGTCGAAGACTGCGACGACCACATCGACATCAACGCGATCGACGAGGTTCGTTGAGTGCTTGGTATTCGCATCTGAGAGCGCGTTCGGCTTCTAGTACGGGGGCACGTGCTTGCACTGGGCCGCGTCCAAAGGCCGAAAGGAGGTGGTCCAGTACCTCTGCATGGCCGGCATCGACATCCACGTCACGAGCTACGTACGTTGCTTGGGCTTTGCACCTCGACGCTCAGGTCCCGTAGGACAACCGCACCGCGTACCAGCTCGCGAGGGACAAGTACAAGACCAAGTGCATGCAATTCCTCAAGGCATGGTACGAGACGTCCCAGGTACAAACCTTCTTTGCATCATGCACATAACCGCAAGCGGCGAGCAGCTCTTGATCCACGCCGCCGAGGAAGGCGACGACGATACGATCAAGCGCGTCATCGCCGACGTCAACGGCGCGTACCCGCTGCGCCATCTTCGGGACAAGGTAGACGTTTCTTTCGAATGGACTAAGAACCTAGTGTTCGTAGAATGGGAAGAATGCCATGCACTGGGCTGCGAGCACGGGCCACCTCTCGAGCTTGCGCCTGGTGGCCGAGAGCTTTGACGAGTGGACCGAAGTCGACAAGGTACGTGCCGATCGCGGATGGATCACGTCGGCAAACAGTGTTTGGACTCTAGTTTGGCCGCAACGCGCTGCATTGGGCGGCGCTCAAAGGCCATAAAGACTGCGCGTTCTGGCTCATCAAGAACCTGCGGGACTCGACCCAGTGGAAGACGCTCACGCTGGTACACCTGCGGAATACTCTCGGTGGACCCTCATTGTCGGACCTCTAGACGGACAAGACGCCATCGCGCTGCGCGTTTGAAGGCGGCCATAGCGCGCTCGCCGCCCAGCTCCAGGTACTACTACGACTTGCACGAAACACTGTTTAACTTGCATGGCGTAGGCGTGGGAGAAGGGCAACGCCGAGTACTTGGCCCCCGAGAAGCCCAAAACCCCCGTGCAGAACCGAGGTACCAGTGCCGTATGCAGACAATGATGAACATGCGGCGGTAGACATTGGGTCGGTGCGCAACTGGCTGCAGCAGCTCGAGCTCGGCGAGTACACGGACAGCTTTGAGAGCGACGGCTTTGACACGCTGCGGGGCGTCGCGACCATGGACGAGGATGATTTGATCGAGATGAACGTCAAGAAGGGTCACCGACGGGGCATTCTCCAGCACATCCAAGAGCTCAAGAACCAGTTGGCGGCCTACGACGAGCAGTCTGCGGCCAATGGCTTTGAGCCCGAAGCGCTCCCGACGCTGAGCATGCTTCCGCAGCTGCTCAAGACACCCAGCGCAACACAGCTCAGCGCACTCCCGCCGGTCGTGACGTCGTCGGACGATGCATGACGCGCGCGCGACAAGAATCCCGCGGGATAACCATATACCCTAGTAGGCGTAGTAGTAGACACTTATATACCCCGGTCCAGGACCCTCCATACCTTCTGCATTTATATATATTACAAGACAGACTCGTTCGTCGACTAACTACATGTTGTTGATGAATTAACGCGTCGACTTGTCTGCGAATGGACTGCAGCCGGCCATGGCGCAGTAGTTTTCCGCAAATACTGTCACGTCCGTGCTGCATACGCGTCTTTAGACGTAGCGATGACACGGGGACTTACCTGCCACGGCCGCGGTACCAGCGCTTGTTGGTCTCGGCGCGACCGTTCTTCCAGGCCTGGTCATGGGCCCACCTGACCGGCGCATCGGAACGAGGTTAGGGGAAGAGCGCTCCTCGTACCCAATCTTTTGGGCTTCCGTGCACGGCACGTCCGACCGCTCTTGCGGGTTCTTGATGCCTTGGCGCACCTTGGTTTCTGCACTGGCGTAAGGTCTAGTGTGAGCTGCCGTAGGAATTACCAATCTCGTTGGGCGGCGTCGCGTTGTTGGCGTCGGCCGCTGTGAAATCCGATGGCTTCATGGACGTGGGCTTGGGCGCGACGGAGCTCACTGCGGTATCGCATGAGACAGGCGATTGAAGACTAGAAAGGTGAGTACACGTCTTGGGGTTGAACTGAAAGGCCGTCGACGGTCCCTCGGTGAGCAGCTCCTTCTTGAGGTGCTCGCGCCAGATCTGGTTGCGCGAGACCTCGTCCGTCTTGACGACCGCTCGCTTGGCGTCGGCCATGATGCAAAGTAAATTGCTGCTGCGCGCGAACGGCCGCTTAATTTAGCAAACCAATCGTGGCGCCAACGTCCCTCGCCCTTTTCCGATACTAGAAGACAGCTAACTACTCGACTAGAATGTCGAACGACCAATAATGTCCTTTGATTTCGCGCCACAACTGAATGTCCAAAGATGTAATCCGAGCGCGTAACAAAGTCTGTACTACGTTCTCTCAACACAACCCGCTGCCGTCGCGAAGGATCAAGTGAACAAAGCTTGAGCGATAGCGCGCAGGCAGCAAAGAGCGAGTTGGCTTCAATTGCAAACGAGCGCGGGGAAGTACTCTACTAGTACTGCAATGGCCATCGATGGCGCGCCAGTCGACGGCAATTTGGGTTGACCGCAGTAGCGTTGGTGCCTCTGACGTGGCACCGTGTCGTGTGTGTATACCGCCGGTTTTATGCCGGCACGCACCCGTTGCTGCAGGGTACGGCGCCAAATTTGACTCCGTGCCGTACCCACGATACAACAATGAACGTGCACAGACACTACAGTACTAGTACTCGGTAGCAGCTACGGTAGCCCCCACGGTCGTCCGATCCTAGAAGCGTAGATATCCGGGCATTTGGTATTGACCTGGCATTTCGATACCAACATATTTGGTGCTGCAGCAGACTGGCGGCAACGACACGAGTGCTGGACGAGAGCTTGGGACGATTGTAGAAGCGGTGAGTCGCATCAGATTCAGAGGTGCATGTCGCAGCCTCTACAGCACTGTACGATATTACACATGTCCATCCTGCATGGGAATTGAAAACCCCATTTTCATGTGGGTTATACTAGCTTTGTCCCAAACAATTTCTACCTTGACAGGGCCAGATCCAATTGGGACAAACAGGAAATACCCAATGACCCACAGGAATCGCATGAAATGCCCACGGCCGGAGCAGCTTCTACAGCGCGGGAGTGAGTTACGCAGCATACAAGTGTGACTTATCACAGCGTGGCCGCCGCCTCTCGACGTCATTTCCAAAGCGAAACCCTAACGACCATGGTGTCGTTCCCTTCCAACGTGCCTCTGCCGCCGCAGAAGTACCGCAAGATCCTCGGCGCGCTCTCGGTCTTTGCTCTTGTCGGCGCGGTCATTGCGGTCGTCGCGTCCTCCAACCCCGACGGCGTCGCGACCAACAAGACGACGACCGGCATGGCCAACGCCAACGGCGGCGTCTGCTACGACATTTACCAGATCGACCAAATGCCGTCGCACTTTGCGACGATTAAGTCGCAATTCTCGGCCGTGCGCATGTACCAGACGTACGTCGGGTCGTCGCCCAACCCGATCGGCGTCGCCGCCAAGGCGGGCCTCAAGCTCATGGCTGGCGTCTGGCTCCGGTCGGGCCAAGGCCAGATCGACAACGACATCCAGTCCATCATCTCGGGCGTCCAGGCCAACCCGGGCACTGTCATTGGCGTCACCGTCGGCAACGAAGACTTGAGCAACGGCTGGAGCGCGGGCCAGGTCGCGGCCCAAGTGACGTACGTCAAGAACAAGCTCCAGTCTGCGGGCGTCAACGTGCCCGTCGGGTCGGTCCAGGTCGACGGCGACTTTCTGAACGCGCCGTCGCTCGCGGCCGTGTGCGACATTGTCGGTGTCAACATCTACCCGTTCTTTGGCGCATCCTCCAACTCGGTGAGCAACCCGGTGTCGGACCTCAGCGCCCGCTGGAACAACGTCGTCAATGCGTACGGCGGGAAGGCCAAGCTCACCGAAACGGGGTGGCCCACCGCTGGCGGCAACAACGGCAACCACGTCTCCAACTACGACAACGCGCTGAGCTACTACCAGGCGTACGCCACGTGGTCCCAGAGCAACGGCGGCGGCGCCCCGTTCTACTTTCAGTTCCACGACGTCACGATCAAGGGCGGCTTCGAAGGTCACTTTGGCCTCGCCGACTCGAACGGCAAGTGGAAGTTCAACATGCCATCGCCGACTCCTGCGCCGACACCGGCTCCTACGCCGGCTCCTACGCCTGCCCCGACACCTGCTCCTACGCCTGCACCGACGCCCACCCCGACCCCCGCGCCGACGCCTGCCCCGACTCCGGAGCCGACGACGAGCGAGCCGACGAAGGAACCGACGAAGGAACCGACGCCGTCGCCGACAAACGCGACGACGCCTGCCCCCTCGACTCTCGAACCTTCGCACAACACGACACTTGGCAACGCCACGGAGCTCCACGAAGGCGAAGCCGCCCCGGTCTTTAGCGGGTCGCAGGCCGGTGCGCTCAACGTTACGATCTCCGAGTCGGGTGTCCTTGAGAGCACGAACGTGCTCCCTGGTTCCAGCGACGAGACTGTGCCCGGCGCAGTACCGGAGGCCGGTGTGGTCCCTGCGGCGGGTGGTGCCCCCGCCACGGCCACGGGCAAGGACTCGGGTGTTGAAGTCAGCAACCAGTCGTCGGGCTCGAGCGACGCGACTGTCGGTGTGACGGCCACCTTGTCGGCCGTCGGTGGTCTCGCGTGCGTGGCGGCTGTGGTGTTTGTCGTCTACCGCCGCAAGCAGGCAATGGAAGAGAAGGACGATCTCTTCACGCCCGCGACCGGCACGACGCGCCCGATCGAAGCCACGTTCCCCGTCAACACGTCGTCGCCCCGTCGCAACAGCGTCGCCGCCATGGAGGAGAACCGCCCGTCGGCGCTCGCACTCCGCGAGTCGACGTCCGAGTGGTTGTAAGTCGTATTAGCATACTAACTGCAACAACAAACATATCGACGAGGTCGCATCGTCGTTTTAACTTTGCTGTGGCATTTCATGACGTGGCAGCACGCAACGCCACACAAAAGTTCGATTATCGAAGATTTGACAGTGCTTCGAAGCTGCCATCAAAGCAGACATGTCGCCCGGGGAGAGCGTTGGCATCACCGCCGACGGAGCCACTTGCTGGATCCGTCACCTGGTCTGGCGCGCCGAGATGAGCTTGTTTTTTCGAGTTATACGTAGAGTCATGCGACGATTGCTGCTGTCGCCAAGGCCTTTGCGAGTGTCCAGTACCCCACCTTTCACGCCCTCGAGCTGCGCGACTGTGAGCTCGACCAATATGCGACCGAGAAGTTGGCGACGACGCTCCATGGTACGTGTTGAAGATGGTGCGTCATCCTATTGTGTGGCTGCTGCGTACTAGCCATGCCAATGCTCTCGCTCGTCTCGGTGGCCTTCCTCAAGTGCGTCTTTGCCGAGGGGGTCGTTCCCGTCTTGGCGCGCTGCTTCCGAGACACTGCGTCACTTCGCGAGCTGCGGCTCGACGGCTGCCGCGATTTGAGCATGACGTCGCTCATGACGCTCACGGGGCTCTGCGACCGCGTCGAGGTGCTTCATCTCACGTCGTGCAAGCTTCCCCGCCAAGGTACGAGACGAATTCGCGTTACTTCCGTGATATTGACACAAGCGACGTAGCGGGGCTCATTCTGGGACAGAGCCTCGCGTCCTGCGAGCACCTTCTCAGCCTCGTCCTCAGCCACAACAACCTTGGCGACGGTGGCGTCCGTGCCATCGCTGACGCATTTGACCCGCATAAGAAGAGCCACCGCCGGTGCGTACGTGGCACCAATGTGTCTCTTCTCATGAGCGTGTAGAAAGCCGCTCGGTACGCTCGAGCTCTTGGACCTGCGAGACAACGGCATCTCGAACGCCGGCTTTGCGTCAGTTCTTGGGATTGGAGTCCGCCACCTCAACGTGAGCCACAACAAAATCACGTAATCATTGCACTTGCTTGGGACGTCCCGACAACACACGCGTCGTTAGGTCGGTCCACGAGCTCTCGGTGCGCCGGCCGTCGCACCTTTGCTCGCTCGACATCTCGTACGACGACCTCGAAATGACGTGTGCATTGTTGCATGTAGCTACAACCCGATCACGGCCGCGGGGTTCGAGACCATGGCACACGTCATCTCGTCGTCGACCACTCGTGTCGGCGAGTCGCTCACGGGCCTCAACATTGAGGTGGACATCCGTGCTTCCTGCGAGAAGGGTGGGCGTACTCTGGCTTTAGAACTGCTGCTTGACGGTGGACGGCCTGCAAGCGCTCAAGCAGGCCATCGAGCACAATCCGCAGACAACGCTCAAGGAGCTGCGACTGGGCGAAGACAACTCGATCGAAGATGCGAAGACACGCGTCGTGCTCTCCGAGCTGCTTGTAGGCGCAACAGACAAAGCGTATATTGACACAGGGCATAGGAGTGCATTGGAAGCGTCCGGCCCGACATTGAGTGCATCATCTCTCCGGCGATCGTCCCGAAAGTCGCCGTGACCATTCCGGTGGTGACGGACGAGACAGTCGACGAGGACGTCGCTTTGAGCTCGCCCATGAGCCGCGCGAGCACGACAAGTGCCCCCGACGTCCGTCTTCCGCGGACGTCTGCCATCGTACTGAGAGACTTTGCGTTGTTTAGGTCGAGGGGATTGTCCGGCAAACGGTCGCGACCATGACGAGCGTCCTCGAGACCAACATGACGGAATTTATGGAGCGCCACGAGCAGCGCTGCGTCGTACGACTGCATTGCTACGATTGATCTCACGAGCTACGCAGGTGGACGCTGGCTTGCACGACGTGCGCGTCAAGGTCGACGCCCTTGAACGCCACGTGCCCCGGGTCGACGTACGTATACTGCGTGGGTCCTTCTCGATTCCAACAACGGATAGGCCCGCCTCGACCAGCTCACGGACCGGATCGCCGCCATGAACGCCGAGCTGCGTACGTGCCTTTGTCCGTCGACGGCCGTCACGCCGTTGTAGGAACACCACGTCGACCGCCGCCGGACCTCGAAGCCTCGGCGCTCTGTACGCCTGGCGATACTTATTGCAGTGAAGTAATGAGGCGCTTGTAGATTTGCTGCCGCGGTCGTCGTCACCTGATGCAGCGCTGGAGGCGTGGAAAGCCGAGATGGAGCGCGCTCAGAACGTTCAGTTTCGCCAGTGGCAGGTGCTCCTCCATAGTCGCTTCACAAGACCTCGAATACAACCAGTGTATAGGACTATATGGAGACGGACCGCGTGGCTCTCGCCCGACGCGTTCAGGAGCTCGAGACTAAAGTCGCTGGCCTGGAGCAAGTCATCAAGGCCGAGCAGCAGGCGAGTTTGTTAGCCCTCGAAGCCATCTCGAGTGCGTTCCTCGCTAAAACTGCTTGAGTCAACTCTTAGTGATTGCTACTTCTTCTTCCGCAAATAACACGGCATGCAATGGGAACAGCAGGAAGATTATGGTGGCAGAATCTTCGTTACACAAGGATCGGAAGGCTAAGCTACCGGCGGCGAGCGTCGTTGGCAGCGGCGGCGTCTTCAGGCGAAAAAGTCGTCGGCGTCAATGATGCGGGATCGCCACGTCTGGCGCGCCGGCCATTTATCTGGCACGCTGGCGCATCTTTCGGCGCTTGCGACGCAGGCGACGCATGCGCTTCTTGCGCCACTTGGCACGCATACCACCGACAAGGTCGAACGTGACCTTGAGGGTGTCGGCGTCGCAGACGTTGTAGTCCGAGAGCAGGCCGGCGTTGATCGACTTGCCGGCGAAGGTGAGGCCGAAGTTCGAGATGAACTCCAAGTTCTCGACCTGCGCCGCGACGGAGGCGACCGAAGCGTCGGCGGCGACGTTCAGGTTCAGGGTGCGACCACCCAAAGCATCCACGAAGATTTGCATGGTTCCCCTCTGGATGCTCAGATGCTACGCAACGAGGGAGATGAGCGCTTCGTCGAGACGCCACGAGGGAGTTACCTAAACGATGTGTCTAGCAGAGCAATCAGCAGAAAGTGAGCTCACGTGCAAAGTGCAGCAGCGTTTTTATAGCCGCTTATAACCAGTCGTGTTGCCCACATACAAACCTGCATAGAAACTTGTTTCGCATAGGCCAGCTGGAAAGGAAGCTCCGAATGGGATTGGCCGCATACTCCCGACCAGTTATTCCCAGCTCACCCTCTTGGCCAATCAAAATGTACGATCACCGCCACACGTACGTAAACGTACATCCGACATTGTACGAAAATTTAGAGAGGCTTTTTGTATGGTAATGTACGCGATGTACGGCCTGGACAAAGTACCCTGCGATTGGCCCGTGACCTTTGGCGACGGATCCAGCGTTTTGGCGCCAATTTCAGTGGCGAGCAACACGCTTCGATCGTGGCCATCCGTGTGGCGAGGAGAGATGAGCAGTGGGTATCGTGGAGCTCTAGTGTTTTGGGCTGCATGCATAGGTATCGCGATATCCCAGTTAAGCGCCTCCAACGAGGAAACGCCGCAGCTACGTCCTGTCGTTGAACGCAGTCAACGAGGCGGAGGAGTCGTTGCGACCACACGCTTCTGTGAGATGAAGCCGTCGGCGTTGATGCGCTGGAGCTCACAGTTCTTTCTATTTGACTGGCTATTGAGCAACGTCGCGCAGCTGCGATGGAACAAGGGTGTTGGGTCCAATGTCGTCCTCTACTGCAGGACGGGAAGGCTCGAAGACCAGCTCAAATACAAATATGCATCCGCTTCTATTCACATAGTCATGGCTCACAACGACGGCGCGCACGCTGCGAGTTGGCGCTGCAGAAAATCGCGGTAGGACGCCGACGCCGACTGTTCGTGGGCGAGCGCCGACTTGGTGCGCTTGACGCGCGCCTGGAGCGCCCACGTTTTTTGGCGCGCAATCGCCGACACGGCTGGCTGCGCGACGATGGCAGATACTACTGGTCTCGGCGCCTCAAGAGCGAGCTTGCGCTTGGACGGCGTGCTTGTGGTCGGTTTGGGCGGCACGACGGTAGAGGCTGCGAGATCCCGGAGGCTGCTGTGCAGAGCGTCGAGCCACGCAGACGGCACGGCGACGACGATCGGCGTTGGGACGACCGACTCGAGGAGCGCGGCAAAGAGAAACGAGAGCAGCGAGGCGTACTGGTTGGCGGGCATGGCTTGCACCACGTGTCGCCAGCGCGGCTCGGGCACCTTGAGCGGAGCAAAGAAAGCGGCGACGAACGACGGCACTTCGTCCCACGACGACGGGAGCGGCGGCAGCGGCTGGGCGAGCGCTGCAAAGATCGTCGCGACGCGATCCGCGACGGCCGGCGACGGGCGGACGAGCGCCGAGAGGGTTTCAAAGGCCGCCTGGATGGACGCGGCGAGGACGGTGGGCGACTGGACGCGGCGGCAATGGGCTTCGTACAAGGCACTCTCGAGTACGTCTTCGAGCAGCGTGAGCAAGTCGGCGTCGCAGACCGTGTGGAGCGTTGCGTGGGGCGAGACGAGTGACGTTAGCATCTAGTTGTACAGCAAATAAGTACAAACAAGAAGACAATCATCGCGCGAGATGGTACTACCTGGAGAGCAAGAACGGGCGCCGTCGGCCACGTCATGGCCACGCACACGACGCGGCGAAGTGGCGACGGCAGCGGCGCAATCGAGTCGGTGACACGGGCAACCAGGGCGGGATCCAGCGCCGTGAGGATGACGACGTAGACGTCGATGGCGCGCTTGAGAGCAGCAATGTCCCGCACAATGGCGCGCACGACAGCTTGCAGAGACGGCATGTCGGACGCCGTAACAGGAACGATAACGCAGTCGTCCGTGTCGGCAAGTGTGGTCGGCGACCGCGTTTCGACATCGACCGAGACACGTTGCTGAGGACCGTGCTGCGTAGTACCCGGGGCACACGTCGTCGTCCACCACTGCGTCCATGCGTCCGACGTGGTGCAAACAAGGCCCAGCGTAAAGTGGATGGTCGGGACACCGGGGTACCGCCTCACAAGGCCAGCGCCCAGCACGTGGCTGAGATCTACGGGGGCGGCCCCCGCGTTTTGGCGCAAGAGCGAGCGCGTGGCATGAAGCATCGCACTGCGCGCTTCGTCTTGCGGCGACCACGGCGGCAGGCAGCGCGGCAGCCGAGAAAAGCCCTTGTAAATCCTGCACATTTACGGTATAAGTCCACACTAGAGTGAAGCAAAAGAACGTACCACTTGGCAACGTCGGCAGCCGACTCGTGTTGGCTCCGCGGCAGCATCTCGACACCGACAGGCGATGCACGCCTACGTGATTGGTGAGACACTTGAACCGAGTGCATTTAGTGCGTACCGACGCGTGGTATCGCGTTGGACGTGCAGGAATCGCTTCCAGAGCGCAAAGCGGAGTCGCTTGATCGCGAGGTGTTGGCGGGCGCGGCGCGCAGCCGCTTTGGCCGCCGCTTCCTTGGCCCAGCGCGCGTCCAGGACCGCGCGTTCGTCAAAGTTGGTCCGCAGCCACTTGTCGCTAAACGCCTTGCGCGCTGCAATCTCGGCGAGTCGCTCGCGTTCGATCGCCTCGCGTCGCAAGCGCTCGTCTTCTTCCGCTTGACGACGACGACGAGCTTCCTCGGCGAGTCGCGCGGCCTCGGCACGGGCGCGGGCTTCTTCAGCAGCGCGCCGGGCAGCTTCTGCCTTGGCGGCGGCTTCCTCAGCGCGTTTGGCGGCTTCTCGGGCCGCTTGAGCCACTGCAGCTTCTCGGGCGGCTTCTTCCGCTTCTTGCTTCTGCTTTGCTAAGGCAGCAACGCGCGCTGCTTCGTCGCGGGCCTTGGCGTCTTCTTCCTCGGCACGCCGTCTCTTTTCGTCCTCTTCGTTGCTGGGAACAGCCGCCGTCGGAGGCTTGCGCTTGGGCGTGAGTGTCATCGCGGGCGGTGTTCCTGCAGGCTTGGCCGTCGACGGTGCGGGAGTCTTTGTCTGCTGTTTCAGCGACTGCAGATCCTGCAGTCGCTTGAGCATTGCGGCCTTCTCGTTGGCGATCGCAGCCTGCCGCTCTTCGATTTGATGCAACACCTCGGCCGACTTGGTCGGTGCCGCCTCGGTCGCTGGTGCCACCCACACGCGGTGGATGCTCGGCGGTCGCGTCGGTGGCAGCGGCGGTGGCAACGGCGGTTGCACAGGAGACGACGGCGCGGCGGCGCTGTTGGGCGTCCACGTACGGTTCATGCTGCCATGGTGACGCGGTGGTGGCTCTGTTTTGGGCAACGGCGGTGCTTTTGCGGCTTGCATCGACGGAGCCGTCTTGCCAGCGGACGTAGCGAACGTCGAGTAGACGTCCTCGTACGGCGGCCGCTCTGGGTACAACCGCTTGCGTTCTTCGTCTTCTGCGAACTTGACGGCCATGTCCAGGGCCGGATACGCCTCTTGCGTGTACTCGGTCGCGCCACGGACCACGTCCCGTCGCCAGAGGTCCCTACGAGCGCCATGAGCGTCGCGCCACCAGCCAGCCAATCGCGTACCCTTGCTTGATGCTGATAAAGCGGTCGGAACGTGGGTTCGGCACCGGCGTCTTCTCGGCGCGGAGGTAGCTGTCGGTGCGGAAGTCGCCGACACCGAAGAGGACGTCGGTTCCCTTGACCGTGAGGCCGTGGAGCTCGCAGACCAACGCCGTGTGCTCTTCGTCCTCAAAGCAGAGGAGGTCCGTGAGCTCTTGGATCGGGTACTCTTGCGTCGTGTTGCCCGGTCGCTTGTAGCCCGCGTTCATGGCTTCGAGCGCCTTGGAGCGCACGTTGGGAAAGTACTGGTGCATGAGACACGCCTGGAGGTACGTGGCGCCCTGGACGAGCCGGAAAAAGCCCACATAGTCGTTCGTGCGGCGGGCGACAAAGACGGCCCACGCAAACTGCACGCAGTCCGAGGCCAAGAGGTTTGGCGGCATCGACTTGGTAAACTTGAGTACGTCGAGGATGCCGCCGTCGTGGAGCGTCCCGAGAATGTAATAGCCCGCAAACTCGGGCTCGAACGGGCTGCTCGGGAGGCCTTCGGCTCGCGCGTCGTCGTAAAAGTCGAGCAGACTGCGCAGCGTCTAGCCACAGAAATCAAACACTGTAATTGTGGAGTACAGAAGCCACCGACCTTGCCAAACTGCTCAACGTTTTGCTGGACGACAAAGTGGGCTTCGTCGATCAGCTCGTGCTGGCTCAGGATGTAGTAGCGCGCAATGCGCTCGTGGATGTCCATCGCGATCGGGTGCGTCCGGCCGCCGCCGCCGCGGTAGTTTTGCAGCGAAATGTCCTTGCGGATCATGCGCGTGCGGTCCCAGAGAAAGTTGTAGAGCTACGAGTCACCTTACAACAATCGAGATGGCGACTCCAGCGACGTACGTCGAGGAGGTCGGGCACCCGCGGCGGGTTGATGCGGTGGTCGATGCCGAGGCGCTCGCGGTCCATGATGTGCTGTTCCAGGTACAGCTGGGTCGAGCGGAGCACCCTACATGCACACACATGATTGGTCAACCACGATGGACTTGGCGTCGGCGCGTGGCTATCGTCGTCACTTGCAGTACCCCAGGGGTCGGACTTCGGACGGAATGTCGAGCTTGTGCGACGCCGAGCTGCGCTGAAACTTCTTTACAGCGAATGCGTCCGGCCCCTTCTCGAACGCGCTGAGCTCGTCGTGCTTGAGGTGCATCTCGAGCTCCTTGGGCGAGCACATGTCGACGCACGTGCCTTCGAGGTGGGTGGCTTCGGCGAGGTCCGTTTTGGCCGGCGGCTGGGGAAGGTCGTCGTCCGACGCGGCAGGGTCCGTCGTGTCCTCCACCGGTGGCGGTGGCCGATGGCGGGGCTTGCGGCTCGGAGGCGACGGCGACGGCGACGGAGAGGTTGACGGCGGCGGCAACGGGTTCTTCTCACCGAGCTGCGGCTTGGACTCGCGCCGCTTGCTGCGCACAGGCGGACGCTCGTCCTTGGGCTTTTGGAACGGCGAGTCGCCAATGGACGTGATCGAGAACGCACTCGGCTCGGACGAAGCGCTGGGCGGGAACGCAGCGCCAAACGTCGTCGTCGTCGCACTGGGCGACGCGCCAAAGATGCCGGTGGCGGAGGTCGATGGCTTGGGTGACGTCTTGGCGCCAAAGACTGTGGCCGACGGGGTAGACGATGAACCAAAGACAGTCGACGGCGGCGCAGCGGCGCCAAACACGGACGCATTCGATGAACCAAAGGTGGTAGAAGGTGCGGCCGAGCCAAAGATGGACGACGACGGCGGTTGGGAGGCGACACCAAACGCGGGTGTGGCCGCCGGCGTGGTCGACGAAGACCCAAAGACGGTAGTCGGTGCAGGAGAACTTGGGAACGGCGATAGCGACGCTTGACGAGCCGTTGCTTTGCCAAAAACTGACGTCGAGCTTGACGAGCCAAACGTTGTACCCGAGCGGCCGCCAAAGGCTGGTGTTGAGGAGGGCGTGCCGAAAGCCGGCGACGTCGTTGCGCTCCCAAAGGCTGGCGTCGAGGTCGGTGTACCGAACGTTGTGGTCGAGGCACTGCCGAACGCCGACGGGCCGCCAAAGGCGGGGCTCGCGGTTGGAGCGCCGCTACCAAACGTCGTGCCGCTGCCCAAGACCGAGCTCGCAGTCGGTGCGGCGCTGCCAAAGGTTGGGCCACTGCCAGACGTCGTGCCGCTGCCAAACACGGGTGCTGAGGATGCCGACCCAAATGTTGTCGGCGCAGTTCCAAAGGGCGTCGTCGACCCGGACCCAAAGGCCGTCGAGCTAGGCTGGCTGGTACCAAAGGTTGTTGATTTGGGCGCACCAGAGCCAAAGGTCGTGGTCGTCGTGCTGGGCTGGCCAGAGCCAAAGCTCGTCGCTGGCTGACCAAAGGCAGTCGACGATAGCGCTGCGCTTCCAAAGGCCGGCGCCGAGGTGCCGAACGCGGGGCCGGCGGTCGAGGAGGAGCCGAATGTCGTCGAGCTTCCTGGAGCAGCGCCGAAGCTGCTGCCGAAGCCACCGGCGCCGCCAAAGGCTCCAGCGAACGCTCCTTGCGACGTCATCGCTGCCGCAAACACTGGCCCGATGAATTATTTGTATTCCAGGGCTCGCACGGTCATAAAATAGCGTATTTTTAATACCGCATACAATCCTGAATGAAAATGAGTTCAGAAAAAATTAATTTAATTTATGTGAAATCACAGCTTGCCATTGGTCAAAACTCAGACGGTAAATTATCAACCGTTTCCCGAACCGGTTACAGGTTGGGCTGGGAGCGAGCGCCTTGGCGTCGGTTTATCGACTAAATCGCATGAGATCTAGCCTCGTTACGTTGAATCCTCTCTTACAGTTGGTGCAACAAACCATTTCGCGCATCGAGAGCAGAGGATCACGAAATTCATTCTCCATACATACGTCTGCGCTTCTGGCTTGGTCCCGCAAGACGTTGCAGCCGACGACGACGACTGATCGAGGACGATAGCTGGGCCAGCATTGTTATCCGAGATTTATGTCTCCGTGCGTGTACTGGCCTGTGGAAAAGGACACACATCATTGGGCTAGCCGACGGTGTCCTCTCTGCTGGGGTAAATAGCTCAAGGAGCTAACGAAAACGCCAACTCCGTGCCCTCCGACCGGCGCTACTCATCGACGGTTTAGTTAATCATTCAATCATCAGCTTGAAGATCGCAATATTGTACGGATGCTGCATCCGGATACGCGTGGGATTGCCCGATCCAGTCCACGATGGCGGCTGGGAGCAGCCACGTCGTGCTCGAGGCCATGTCCGTAGGCGTGGATGGTACCATGGCGCGCGACTGGTTCTACGACTCGGCGCATCGATGTATCATCGCTCTCCGTCCTTGCGCGGATGGCTCTGGCGAATCTGACGGCCGCTTGTCGCTGCAGCTCGCCGGGCTGCCAGACGCGTCAGCCATGCCAACAGGCCGCTACGGCAGCTACGCCCGAGGCACGGCCTTCTGTAGCGCAAAGCTGTCTACAAGCAAGCAGTTTCTCGCGCTCCAGCGCAGCGACGTCGAGGTTGAGATTGCCGTGCTGCGCGAGCCACACCACCGCTTCAACGTTCTCTGCAAGCGCTCGTCGCGCATCCTTGGGCTCGTCTGGAGCTCCAAGGTGGCGAATTCGCTCGCACGAACATTCCTCATGGCATTTATTGCATGTAGATTGCGTATCTCAAGACGTCGACCGAGTACCTTGTGCTGGTGACGACGGGTGGCCTCGAGCAGTTCAAGGTGACGCCGGTCAAGGTACAGCTTTAATGATGCTTTTCTTGGCTCACATGCATGTTCGCAGTGCACCTTTCAGAGGCTCGTCGCGCACGCCACGTTTGCGTATTGGTACAACGTCGACGCGCACCTCGTGGTGCTGCAGACAGGCGCCAACGCGTCCGAGCTTCGGCCGTTCATCCTCGAAGGCGCGATCGTGACCAAGTGCTCGAAAGTCGTTGTCGCCGGCGTCGCTCGCGTCTGCGTGGCGACGCTCTACGACACGTACTACATCCTCCACTGCACGTCGTCGCAGCTGCTCTTCTACCGCGTCGAGGCGGGGACGGACACCAAGTGCGTCCGGGCGCTCGAGCTGCCGTTCCCTGCGCACGCCGACGTCGCGTTCTCGGTCGTCGACAACGTCGTCGTCGCCCACAGCCGCGCGTTTGGCGTCTCGTGCCTCTACGACATTGCGCTGGACGTTGCCGAGCCGGTAGTCTCGCCGCTGCCGCCGGCACCTGCCACGACCGACGGCCACTTTCTCTGGCCCCACTACTATCACGCCCCGAGCGCTGGCTTTGCCACGGTGACGCTGGCGCTGGTCGAAATCTCGCGCTGTGCGTCGGCGGGGCTTCGCGCGAGTGCGCTCGTCCGCTTCTTGCTCCGACGCGCCGACGCCCACGTGGCAAAGAGCTGTGTCTTTGCGTGTTTGCAAGCGCGGATCGCCGACCGCGCACCCGTCGCCGAAATCACGGGCCATTTTCATCTCCTGCATCGCATCTATGGCCTCGCGATGCTGGATCGGTAGGCTTACTATGTCGTTATCGTCGTTGATCTATATGAAGGGACCCGCGGCGTGCCGGGGCCGAGCAGCGGGCGCTGACGGCCTCGTCGTCTTCGTCGTCGTTGTCGCCTGGCGAGCTGGTCGACCTCCGAGACTCGAAGCAGCGCATGCTGGTCGTACTGCAGCGAGAATGCTATGTGCACTTGTGGCTGCCGCTGGTAGGACGACGTGCAGTCGACGACCTCAAAGGCGTCGTGATAGCAGCAAGCCCATCCCCCCGACGTCGTACATCTCTATCTGAGCGCATACCTCCACACGCTCGAGGCCTTTTCGATCCCGATCGAACCAGCCATGTACGCTGAACTGCCGTACGTCTCTGAAGCAAGGCGCTGTAGACTCCAGCTGTATGTTCAAGTGCTCGTGCAGCGAGGGCAGTGCCACGAAGGCCTCGCGTTTCTCGCCGCCAAGCACGACTCGCCCTTGCTCGCCCACGAGCTGGAGCTCCAGGCAAATTGCTGTTCGCATCGGCCGACGTCACCGCTTCCCGCTCTAGGCTCAACTGGCGTATCGTCCGTTCTTGCAAGTGGCCCTCGACATGTACCATCGTCTCGGGCGCGTCGACGACGTTCTGCGTCTTCTCCTCGCCGACAGCAACGTACACAAGACAGGGTACATGGATGAGCTCGATTGATCGCTCTAGGTCTCGATGGCCTTGCGACTTGCCCAACGGGTGTTGCACAAGCACGACCAGCTACCGACAATTTGCACGCCTGCGTGGTTCTATGACGCGGTCGCGTCAGCAGGTACGCGTTCTGCCAGGTACCTGGGCCAGTGACCGTCGTGGTGTAGCCACCAGGGCCGACGCCGCGCCGGCCAGCGTGTGGCAGTGGTTTACAGCGCTCCATCTCTTCTTGCGCATGTTTGACAAGACCTGCGTCTCGTCCCCGCCACCGTCGCCGCTCGCAATGGCAGCCACGGTCCCGTTTCCGTTCGGGCGGTTTGCTGCGGAGGCGATGGCGACCGAGATGGCCCGTCGGTTTGGCTTTGTTGAGAGTGAGAGAGACGCAGAGAAGAGGTATATATAAACACATGAGTGCGTGGGCGCCAAGACTAGCATGCACTGGTCGGTGACGGGGAGCTCAGTGACCACGAGCGCAGAGGTCCATGGAGTGGCGACTGGCGCAGCCGCTTCAAGCTAGGCACGTCTTGTTGGTCCATGCGACTCAGCTGGTCGAGCATTGCAGTCGACGCTACAATTTGCCTAAGCGATATGGAGCGCGCAGACAATCGAGTACCTTGTTGGTTCTGTGACAGGAGTTGGCGCAGCGAGCTCAATTGCGCATCGTCGAGCGGAGGCGCACGAGAGGCGTCGAGCGTCCGGCGACTCAGCACGTCCGCAAGTTGTTTCTCGAGCGCCCGCTTCTCCTTGAGGACGGAGACGAGAATCTGCTGCAGCTGACCGGTCGAATCACGCGGGCGGTCTTGCCAGCGGTTGGAGTCGTCGCTAAGAAGTGCGTTGATGGTCGCTTCCTTGGCTTGGAGCTGGCGGCTAAGACGGTTGACGATGGACTCTTGCTCCTGCTCGTAGCGCTGGCCGAGTACGACCTTTTCATGGCGCAGCCGCTGCATCTCAGCCTCAAGCTCTTTGGCTTGCTTGGTGTCGTGGACGGCTTGGGGTTGGACTCGGCGGAGAAACTGGTTGATCATCCACTCCTCCTCCTTCTCGGCAAGAAGCGTCTACATAGTGTCATGGGTCTTGACTCATTAAGGTGCATGGACGTACGACGTTGACGACGGCTTTGCGGAGGCGGTCGACCTCTTCCTGGAGGCGCATGTTCTTGACACGTTCCTGCGCGAGTTGCTCGGCGACGTCCATGTTGCTGGTGCTTGGGAAATCTGGAAATGCATCTTGCTCTGCCTCCCGCTGGCGAACGTTGAAGATTCGGGCAAAATTTGGCTTCAGCACCAGCTCATTTCTGCACCTTCTGCGAGAACAGGCCTCGTTTATACCGCAGAACAAGAAAAAGGTGCACCAAATTCGAGTCTTACGAGGTGCATCTTTGAAGGAACCCAGGGTAGAGGCGCTGGGACACGCTAGGGGGCCCTACCGTCAGACCCTACCGCGATGGGTACGGCGCCACCATTGTCCGTTGAAGCGCGCGGCGCGGCCCTGCGACGGCGACAGTCGCCACTGCATAGATACCTCTATGCGAAGAGAGCGACAAGTCCCGTAAGCGTGATGACGATCGGGTGTCGAAGTCCTATTTTGGGGGTACCCCTCGAACCACGTGGCGTCGCCACGGTAGTCGAATTACTGACGACTGCCGTGTGAGATTGATGTGAGTTCACTGCTGAGGATCGCAGACGTGGAGCGGCACGCTGTGCGATACAAGATTGCTCGTGGGGCGAACGGAGGACTAAGGTGAACCAACTCCTGTGAGAACGCTGCACCAGACCACACTAACAGGAACCTTGTGCAGAGTCTGATTGGTCAGCTTTTTATTCCAACGGCCAATCAAATCGCTTTGGCTTCGTTGGGTTAGCCAATGGATTTTACGTCAGTGGGACTTCTTCCCGCCCTGCACTCTGCGGCGCGTACAAGCCAACTTGTGTTGTTGCTGCAGCCGGGGCCAGCCACTTTCGGTACTTTGCGTCGACGGCCACCTAATTACGGGCCTGGGTCTCGGCATTCACGCTCGGATATCTTGTCGACGATTTGGACCGACTTGCGGAGGATTCTCGTCGAAAGACTCCTGGCAGTTGTTCAGCTTTGCGTCTGAACAGCGCCGCAACCTGCCGCAAATGGGGTGCTACCAAGTACGTTTGGTGCCGGGGCAACGAGGATCGTACAACTCGTTGATCGTGCACCAGGCGTTGATCAATGCCGTGGTCTCCAACGCCACGTACATCCACGCACGCAGACGAACGACGACGCCGTTAGCGCCCAGCGGGTTATTGCTTGAGCGCCGCACCACTCGGCGTTAAGATAGACGGCCCCGTCAAACTGGATCGATTTCGATGGGTTGATGTTGCCACTCCTGGCTGCGGTGATCAATGAGGGTATGAACGTTGCCAGCCCACGGCTTTTTTTCTATTTGCTAGCACACGACACCGTAGTTTCGTCAAGCAGTCGTATATGGCGACTTCCTCGTAGGCTGGGGGTGAAATCGAGACCAGGCATTGGCCATTGGTAGCGCTCAAAGCGCTAAGCAAGATCGGGTGCCGCCTTCACCGCACCGCTGCAGCACTACAAAGATTTATCTTATGGACCAGCTCACCAGGTGCACCGTAGCGCAGCGAAGGTTGCATTGCAGTTCCCGCCGAAGGGCGGGAGCGGGGCACGGCGCACGCGTCCATCACATATTCGCCTTGTGAATGCGTGTTTGCATCGGGCAGGGTGCGT